TAGTTTTCCTTAGAAAGTCCTCCCTGATAGTTTCCGTCCTCTTGCGCAGATGCCAATTCCATTAAATTTTCTGCATTAAACACAATTGTAATTCTTTCTTTTTAAAGAAATCTCAGGGGAAATAATTGTAAACATCAGATTCAGTGCGATTATGAATTATTATTTTAAAGTAGTTAACATTTTGAGTGGGAAAAGCATTTTTAATACGCTCATAAACAACCCCTCCTCTAAACTGGCATCAAACTGTGTCGATTTCTAAAACAATCTATATAAATACGTTTCCAAAAAATTCTGCTAAAATATTAAAAGTTGTATTTGTAGAGCATTTATTAGTTAGATTTGTGACTACCTACTGAACTTTTGGTTTTCGTAACCTATAAGGTATTTTCTCCCGCCTTCTTAGCATACCTTCGTGGTGTAATGGTCAGCACGCACGGCGTGTATTCGAGAGGTTGGTGGTTCGAGTGCCGGCGAAGGCATTGCTCCTATTTCACATGTCCTGCTTCGAAATAACCTAATGTTTCTATAGTGGCACCCAAACCAAAAAAGGTGGTGGATGATGATTCTCCGCCGCAAGGATTTGGCGATTCGGTCCCCTAATCCCCAGTCGCCCTTTAAAAGGGGGAGTATATACGGTATTTTCTCCCGCCCTTTTAGCATGCCTTCGTGGTCTCAGTACGCTCGGCGCGCATTCGAGAAGTCCGTGGTTCGCGTCCCGGGTAAGGCATTGCTCATTTTTCATGTCTCTTGCTGTTAAAAAAAATGTAATGTCTCTAAAAACCTTCCATTCATCAGAATAGTAATAAAGTCATGAAGCATAGGGGGTAGGGGGGAAAAAGGAATTTTAAAGAAAAGATTATTTTTACAAAATGACTCAAAATTTCTTGAGACAGTATAAGTAGTTATATAACTCAAATAATTAAATATTTGACCTCTTAATTTTACCAGTATTTCTGTATAGAAATAAAACATTATTAAATATCTTTAATGAGTATCATAGATAGTGGAGCACATCGAGTGAGCTTCACAATATTTTCAAAAGCAGCCACTTTGACAAATGAACAGAACTGTCGGGAATCGCTTATGAATGTCACTTACACGTTTCATAATGCCAAGAATGTTATAAAAATAACGGTTATGCTATATCAACAACTTACCGATCTTTCCAAAGTGCTTAAAAATAGAGCTGTTCCAAAAATTGTATTCAGTTCATTCACGGTGTTTAATCAAAAGCTCGTCGTCGATTTTTGAACTGCTTATCGATAAGCTATTGAATTCAGATTTTGTACAATTACGTTTACGGATGATAATAATTCGATTTAGAGTTTTTAAAATTTAATGTCGAAGAAATTTTTTGCGCATATTTCCATTTATGAATTTTTTAAGTTTGCATCATTTTACAGAGCGTAAAATAGCTTTTGAAATAAAATTTGCATGAAATTTGTAACCTAATTTCTGATTTGGGGCGAATTTTGTTTTAAATTTATATATTTTTTCGATTATTTGAGGTAAAAGGATACTTGGAAGTAAAAGACTGAACCAAAAGTAATAATAATAATAATAATAATAATTTATCGCATAGATTAATGGTAATAAGAGATTACTTAATAGCTTCTTTGCTAAATTCCTGTACAGTTTTATAAGAAGAATCATAGGCTCTTAAATTACGAAATCAAATAATTGAATCGCATTGTCAGATGTATAATATTTATAAATTTATCAAGACAGCCTCACGTTTTTATTCGTGATATAAATTTGTAGAAGAATTTTTTAAAGAGAATTATTTAATCTCGTATTCCCATTAAATTACACGATACATTATTTTTAAAAACAAAGGGCGTTAGCCGAGAAGGTCTATTAACTTCATTTTTTCATTTTCCGTTGAAAACTATGTCAGTTCACTTTTCAAACTGTTGCTACCACATATTACAGCCCTGTATTATATTTAAAGAAATTAAATAATGGTTTTGGTTTATTAGATTACGGCAGAGCACTCGAGGGCTATCTGCCTTGAAATTAAATAATGAATAATCTGCATAAATATATGTATGTTTCTCGCATTGTGATAAAACAACGGTACCTAGACCCATCCAATTTTGAATAACGTACATTTCCACCCGAATATGGGCATCTCGAAGCCGAGATTTGGAATTTGTTTTATTATATGTTTCCTATTTCGTAAAACTTCAATGAATTTTTTATTAAGAAACTCAACGATTTTAAAGCGAGCAAAGGCAACACTGTATGAAAATAATAATATAAAAAATTATCTTCAACGGGCGAGACTGTGTATCGGAAATTCTAAAGATATGCTCATTTAAAATTTATTTTGCGGTATTGATGTTTAACTGAAGTTTTATGGTTTAAGTGCGAAGAACATGATATTTAAAAATAAAGGTAACCCACAAACCGTTAAAAAACGCCCTTTGGGCGTAATGTAAAATCTGAAAGATTTGCATTCTCAGATTTTTATGTTTGCATTTATTACTTTTATTTTTCTCGTTTTAATTCATTAATGCTCTTATAGGTAAACGTTCATTTTGTAAAAAATTCTATTTTTTATTCAATAACTGCTCTAAAACGGAAATTCTTAAATCCCTTTATATATGCATCCACTTTGTAACTGGTAATAAATTTGTTTCTTTAGAGTCAGTGTAAGGCCTTTATCCCAAAACATCAAGGAGATTTCTCCCCACGCTAATGACAGCCATTACCCATTGTCGTCAGGATTGCATGGACCCTTGTCCCCTTAGGCATTGGGGGTTGGAAGACATACAAAAATACGGGCTAGTCCTTTTTGGCGTGTTTTTTCGATAATACAAAAACACGGGACTGTCCGTTTTCGAGGGTACATTTAAACTAACAATAATCCGTAACGAACCGTTAAGAGACCTGCATAAAAGAACGAGAAAATCCGGGTGAAACCGTTAATGGGTTAAAGAAATCAATTTTGTAAAAATTAAAAAAAACCTAACTTTTCTCACCTTTCCCCAGACCCTACACTGATATTAAAGAAAATTTTGCACTTGTTATAAAGCACAAAAATTTTGACTTCTGTATGACAAAAATCGGCTAAGCTATTTGATATTAAAATTGGAAGTCATATTCAGGAACCGTACACAAATTGAATGTTGTGTAAATGTGATTATTATGTTTATTTATGAAAACATTTTTCATTTGTACTTAAATAAAAATAAAAAGTCAGTTAGAAAAGGGGGGAAGTTAAGAAATTACATGGATCTTTTATGCAGATTTTTGTGAAAAATATTGAGTAATGTAATTTTTTACAAAATGAAGATCTTATTTACAGAATCTTATATACGAGGGCTATCCAGAAAGTAGATTACGTTTTGGAATAAAAAAATAAACAAAGTATAGGAAACAAATTTTATTATACACAGATGAAAGCCACACTCAAATACTACTTTTCTACATAGTCACCATACAAATTAAGGCATTTATCGTAGCGATGTACGAGCTTGGAAATTCCTTCGTCGAAAAATTTGGCCGCCTGCGCCTTCAACCACTTCGTTACCTCTTCTTGCAGCTGTGTGTCGTCATCAAAACGCTGCATAGCCAGCCACTTCTTCATTGCTGGGAATAGGTGGAAGTCGCTCGGTGCCAGGTCGGGACTGTACAGCGGATGAGGAAACAACTCCCACTTAAAAGATTCAAGAACTTTACGAGTGACATTTGCCATGTGGGGCCGGGCGTTGTCGTGAATCAACAAGATCTTAGAGCTCAACATTCCTCTGCGCTTGTTTTGAATTGCTCTTCTGAGTTTTTGGAGAGTTTGGCAATACCTTTGAGAGTTTGTTGTAGTGCCTCTTTCCATGAAGTCCACCAAAATTACACCTTTTCTGTCCCAAAAAACAGTCGCCATCATCTTCCTTGCCGACATTGTTTGCATGCATTTCTTGGGTTTTTGGGGAGAACTTGTGTGCCCCCACTGCATTGATTGCAATTTCGTTTCACAGTTCACATGTTTCACCCATGTTTCGTCACCAGTAACGATGCGATCGAGTAAAGAGTCACCATCCTTATGGTAAGCGTCCAAAAAGTTCAACGCTGCAGCCATTCGCTGATTTTTGTGGTCCTCTGTCAAGATTTTTGGAATCCATCTTGCACAAAACTTGTGGTAACCAAGCTTTTCGCTGATGATTTCGTGCAACAAACTTCGCGAAATTTGTGGAAAACTCAAAGAAAGTTCCGTTATTGTGAAATTTCGATTTTCACGGACTTTAGCATCGACTTTTTCGAGAAGTTCGGCGGTCACTATGCTGGGTCTCCCACTTCGATCTTCGTCGTGAACATTGGTTTGGCCATTTTGAAATCTTATGACCCACTGACGCACTCCACCTTCAGTGATAATGTTGTCCCCATACACTTCACGAAGCTGCCGATAGATTTCTATCGGTTTACAGTTTTTTGCAGTCAGAAACCTTATTACTGAGCGCACCTCGCAGCTCGCGGGATTTTCAATTAACGCAGACATTTCAACTCACTAGCACGGCTAGATGCAGACTGAGCTGCGCAACGCTCTGACCCCAAGATGGCCGCGCTAGCCCCGCCCCTAGCGGACACAGACGGAAACGTAATCTACTTCCTGGATGGCCCTCGTAATTCATGAACTAAAAAAAACACCAAAAGGTTTTAATATTAGCTCCCATCAACTTAAAAATTATTCACATAAATTAGAAATGCCAAATATTTGTGCTTTAACTTTTTTAATAGTTACTTCATTATGATTCTAAAGTAATAAAATTTAATGAAAATATTAATAATGCATCTTTAGTCTTTGAAAACTTACAAAGTACTTGCATGAATACTCATTCTACATACCAAATGTAAAAAACATTGTAAATCACAAAACAACATCAAGTATAATAAATCAATATTTTATAAAGAATTAGTCTTGGATAAATTTATTCAAAAGTCAGGGCAAGGAATTTGTGGACAAGGGGTCTAGAGAACAAATAACACAGAGAAAATCAGCTTACACTAAAATGCTTTGAAAACACGGTAGGATATCCATTTGAAATTTCAAATATCACATTCACAATTGCAATTAACAATTCAGGTACATCAGCTACCTCTAATGCAGACTGCAGTCTTGCCATTACAAACTAAAAAGAGAATACAAATTTTTATATTAGTTTTATTTTTAAATTATATTAACTAAAGAAAAATCAGAGATAATACGAAATTGTTATACTTACCGGCACATGTTCAGCTAGATTTCTTTTTTCTGCATCAATTTTTAACATCTGTAACAGAAAATGTAAAAAAGGCTACATATTTTCTGTGAAATGACTATTAATATTCATCTGACATAATCAAGAAGTCCTATGGTGACAAAAATAGTTCTAATCATAATTTTATTAGCGATATCAATTTTGCAAACTACATTATAAAATAAAAGCTTAATCACTATATATAATTTAAAATTACATACAAATGAGGAAATAGCATGAAAGTTACAAAATTAAATGGTTGACAGTAATAATACAACGATGTGTATAAATTAAGACTCAAGAATTTTTTCACAAGATGTATTTTTGTGCTAGAAGATATTGATATTGTTCAAATTATTTTAATATGAAGAAAAATTAACTCTGCACAAAAGAATGCTTTTTGAAATAATTAAGCAAATATAAAATCTACAGATACATAAAAAACAAAAGTTTTGCTCTGTGACAAACATATCGAGTTTGGGTGCTGAAGAAGGAACAAAGAAATAATTTGGCATACTACAAGTCTATATTTAATTGCAATGCAAAGCTGACATTGCAGGCATATGCTTTAAAGAAAAGTTTTCTGAGAGAACCTGGGTTTTCCCATTTTTGTTAGCGTTTGAAAGAGAATTAGATTCTGCAATATGTTTTCCATGACAATCCTATGCGAGTTTTATGACAGAAAGCTCAACATTTTCATAAAAGTCATCAGCTTTGTTTTTCTACAAAAAGTGATATGATGTAAGAACATATAAAAAAAGTTAATAATGAAAGCAATAATAAAAACTAAAAAATGATTCAAAATCATGCCATAATCCACTGGAAGACCAGCTCCATTTGATATGATTGAAGTCAGAGATAGCCCAATTTTTAATCTAATGTCATCAACATAACATTACTATATATGTTTAAAAAAGTAATGAAAGTCACGAAATATTAAAATTTTCAAACAAAAACTGATCCTAAAAATAGCAAAATGTTGATAGCTGCTAAACTTACCAGCACAACAAAAGAATACATATTTCAAAAAGGGGAAAATTTATTTGTGATACAATAACAAGATTACATTTAAGCGATAACCCCGATGCCTGCCAAAAGCATGTGGTTAAATAGAAATCGTTGGCCAAACTGCCAAATTAGAATACTTTTTAGCATCTTCACAACAAACTGCCAAATTCTGAAAAAAAATTACTTGGTGCATAACATCTAAAAACTGGCTGCCCAGATGGAAAGTGGTTAATGACTCTGACTGTCATACCAAATGGACAAGATCTGAATTCCAGAGAATGCATGGATCTAATTTGTCCATCCCTTCCTGAAAGATAATGGTGGCCTACCTATTAGATGCCTCTATAATAAACAGATCTTTGCTTCCGGCCTTAGTAATGGCCAAATGCCTATAAATAGCTAGAACCCACAATTGCATTTCACAAGTATTAAAAACTACAGCAGTTGTCACAAGGAATAAAAAATAAATAAATAAATAAAAATAAAAAAAAAATCAACTCTTGGCAGATATACAAAAGTTAAATGAAAATATCTTTCATAACAAAATCTTCCAACAGCAATACTGAACAATCATAATATATTTTTCCAACACTAAATAATTACATCCATTAATCATTACTCCAGCCTATATCATTCATACAGCACCTGATTAACGGTCAACTGGCATAACATACTCAAAAGTATTAGGAAGGAAAGGTTAACTCCCTTTCTTAATTCTTAATTCCTAACTTAATAATAACTTCTTCCAATATTAGAGGAGAAACAAAATCTGCCTTTCCTGACAAACAGAACATCAACCCATATTTCATCAGCTTATTTGAAGTTTTATAACTTATATGCATGCTATGATCACTAAAAAATGTAAAACTGGTTTGTCGACATATCAATCCAATTCAAACATGTACAAGTTATATGGCCTAGTGCAATATTCTGATTAACATGCTTAACTTGCTAACTGACCAGCAGTGACATTTTTTCACAAGTATTAAATATATACATAACCAATTTTCCAAACATATTGTTAACCATTATTATGTATGGCTTTACTGCCATTACAAAATAAAAAGTTACACAGAACACAGCAAAAAATAATTAACAAAATAAAAAGCAGAATATATAAATATCTGATAATAGCAGAATTAGGCCATTGAAAGTCTTGGAATTCTAATAAAATTTGCAAATGTAACTCCAACTGCTTAAGTCTGCATCCAAACCTGATTACACTAGAAGAAATCAAAGTTCACTACATATAATTGGTTGATGAATTTTTATCACACTTACATGTTAATCAGAGAATAGTGATTTGTTTTTAACAAGTTTAATCACTGCCTCCTTGCATAGCCCAACAAGCTGCAGTACTCTTTAAAGTTATGTTTAACATATATTATCATCTGATCTATTCTTTGATTCTTTTTGATAATTTTTTACAATATTCTTTAAACATATACTGGTACTTCAGTTCATGTCACTGAATTATTCTAGACCACTGGATGAATATCAAACAAACTTATCAAATAAAAAAATTAAGAACATACTTAATCCATTCTTATTTAAAAAAATCTCATTATTAATTTGTTAACATTGTTTAACACAAAATACAAGTGCAGTGGGTGAAATATAAACTATACATTTATGAAGCATTGCAAAGAGTACTGCATACGTTTTACCCCCTATGTATATCAAAAGCAGTTCTCCAACATGCTCTAATATTTCTGATCTTTGTATGGTAATCTAGCTCACTTCCTTCGCATCATTAGCCAACTTAATAATGTCACTGTTTTTCACACACTTGCCTGGTATATGGTATGCAATATAGCCAAATTCTGAATACACATGCCTTCTTCACGCTTTTCAAAAGAACTTTTTTCGCTTTCATGATGATTATAATATTTTTCTTTGTTGCGTGATTTTTCTTATCAACTTTTTTAAAACTCACTGCTAATGAATTTATAAAAAAATTTAAGTTAAAAAACACATAAAATCACTTAAAAATTCATAGTCCAGGTTGTGCATGCTGACACTTATTGTGCAGGTTGTGCATACTGACACTTATTGTCTTCAAAGAGGTAAACAAATGTAGTGCACAGTCATGAACCACTGAACACCTTGTATTCCAAACAAAAGTGTTTAAGCGAACGTACACTGAATGAGGGCTGCCTTAAAAATTTCCGATCATTATATGACAATTCATATTTTTGGTCTAATGATTAAAAAACAAATGTTTATGATATATTTTTTTCAAAATATTCTCCATGAAGATCAATACGGTGTCGCAAATTGTTGACCACATAATTTATTTTTGATGTACAGGAATAAAAAAAGTCATTGGGTGCCAAATCAGGGCTGTACGGCAGATGGCCTATCAAAATTCCTTGAGCCAATATGTGACAGCTCGTATTCATGATGAAGAATGATTTATCTCTGCTTCTTTTTTTTAATTTCTTCAATGACTTCTGGCAAACAAATGGTCATGTGCTTTTCGGACTGTCCTGCATTGCCTAAGACAACTGTCACCATGTGACTGGTAATAAAGAAACAAGCAACAATTTGCTTCGATGTGCTTTTTCCACAAACAATTTTTGTTGGATTTAACTCGTCTTAAAAGACCCATCGAGTCGAGTGCTGTTTTGTTTTGGGCTCATAAGCACAGATCCATGATTCTTCATCTATGTAGATTTTATACACAGCCTTTGATGCACCCTGAACGTATTTTTCTATTTCCTTGCATCAATCGAAACTAGCCTTCTTTTGAGCATTCGTCAGATTATGCGGGATCCAACAAGAACAAATCTTTTTTTATGGTCACGTAATATCTTAGTGATGCTTGTCATATTAATGCCCAAAGAAGCCTCAATCTCACGGTATGTCAATGACAATCTTGCTTTATCAATTCACACAAGCATCGATATTTTCTGGCAGAACAACCAATTTTGTACGACCATTGCAGAATTCGTCCAGTAGCGAATGTCGACCATGACTGAATTTATTACATCAGTTTTTTACAGTGCTGAAGGATGGTGCTTTATCTCTGTACACAGAATTAAGTTCATCAGAGCACTCTCCTCTTGATAATTCATGTCCAAAATTATGAAAAATAATCACATGAAAATGTTCACAAGTCAACTCAATTTTTTGCTAGAGATGAATTTTTCAATTTACTATAAACAACACAAATCATGCTAAAATAGCAAAATGTTCTGAAGAAGTTATGGTTAAAAATATGAAACTGGAATCATCTGCAGTCACTTAGTAACACTTACTGTTGCCAAAGCCAGAAATATAAAGAGCAACCTTCGTATATAAATGGCAGCACGAATCAACGGAAGTGGAACAACTTGTTTAGGTGTCATCTGATAACTTCCAAAATTTCAGCTATTTAAAATGCAAATTTTATTTGACATTTTTTTTTTTTTTTTTTTTTTTTTTTTTTTTTTTTTTAGATGTCACTGTTTTTACGAAAATAGAAAAAAACTGAGTATCGAGCTGTCATTAGGAACTTGTTTTTGAAAGGTAATATGCCTATACAGATTAAAGATTTGGATGCAGTGAACAGGGACTCTGCACTACCACTTACTGTTGTGAAATTCTAGGTAGCTGAATTTAAAAATGACTATACCAGCTTGGGTAATGATGAATGTTCAGGACGACCAAAAACTAAATACAACCACTGATGAAAATATCACTAAAATTCACCAAATGGTGCTGGGCCACCGGCAAGTAAAGGTTAGAGAGACAGCAAAGGCTATGAGAATGTACAAAGAACTTGTTTGTCACATATTGAACCAAGATTTAGGTATGCACAAGCTGGCTGCATATTGGCTTTCGCATATGCTCACTTTGGACCAAAAACGTGTCCAAATGAATATTTGCACTGCTCTGTTTGTGCAATTAAGATGCAATAAATTGGAATTTTTCAAAGAGTAATGTAAATGAAATTTGGATTCATCATTAGAGCCCAGAAACAAAAAGCAGTCAAAACAGTAGACTGCAAAGGAAGAACTGGCTCAAAAAAAAAAAAAAAAAAAAAAAAAAGGCAAAATCTGTTTCTTTTCTGGGAAAGTGATTGTGACAGTTTTCTGAGATAGCAATGGAATTGTCTTAAGAGATTATCTTGAAAGGAAAAAAAAAATATTACTCCAGCATACTATGCAATGTTGCTTGAAAAGGTGAAGGCAGAAATTGCCAAAAAAAAGTGACATTTGCAAAAGGAAAAAAAATTGTGTTTCATCAACACAACGCACCATCTCACACCTCAACTGTTGCAATGGCAAAAATTCAAGAACTGCTCGACCTACTCACCAAATCTGGCCCAAAGTGACTTTTTTCTCCCCCTATGCTAAAAGAAGCACTTGGAGGACAACGATTTTCATCAAGTGAAAAGGTTATGAACTTTGTTAACTTTTTTGCAGAGAAAGCTTCCACATATTATATGGACAAATTAAAAGGGTGAGAGCATCGCTGGGAGAAATGTATAGACTTACATGGAGACTATGTTGAAGAAAAAAGTTATTTTGGAGGAAAAATATCTTTTTTCTTTGTTAGGTCAGAAATCTTTCAGACAGCCTACATACTTGTTAAATGTTTCCAGCAGAATAGGATTTTAGCCAACTAATACAGATCAGATATTTCATCACCATCATCAGTTCATACATGATTATCCATACTAAAACTATTAGAAAGCTATTTGTTTTATTTCAATTATAGCTACTCCTTCTAATGAAATTTGTTAATGCTTCTTAAAAGAGGTTATTAACCGATATAATTATGTGGATTTCTGCATCAAAATTTCTCATATTGTGTTCTACAAGGGCATATCATGAAAACAATTTACAATATATCCTATTTTCACTGTTATTGATCTGTAGCACTTTTATATAGATTCTAGCTCATTTTGGTTCCAGCTACATTAAATCCAACATAATTAACACAGTCGCATCTGATGAACCTCAGGTATGTTTTTTTACACTACTATTCACATTAACTAGACTAATAATTTAATCAGGAACTCCAAAGTACTTACTAATTTCAATTAATGGCATTAGTTGCAGGTCATTCAGCACCTCCCAACATTCATGACACCGAGCATTATTTGGCATTCTCTTGAACAAGGATGTAACATGTATTTTTGAATAATTTCAAATCCTATTTACTCAATGCAAAGTCTCCTTGTCAGTGAATAAGCCTACGGCTTTTCTCTCTATTCTGAAATCACAAGTACAACTATTGCTGCATAACAGCAGCAATAGTTTTACAACAGTAATAATTTTAATATCTATTCAGAGTTCCCTCTAGTACCTCCAACGTTTCTCATACAGCAGAAATTGAAATTTCTAATGACGAATGGTATCTCGTTTACTGTGATTTGCATGCAACTGGATCTGGCTCCATTAATTCTTCTTTTAAAGTATAAAGACACGAATTTTAGGTATGGATTTGCTGAAATCTTTAATTCCCAGTTTTTGTACTGTTCTCAGAGCTCAAGAATTTAAAATAGCTCATTCTAATAAAAAGAAAGTTAAGATGGAAGTATCATTGCAGCTGCGAAGATCAGTAAACCTGCAAGTGAACGGTCACACAAATCGATGTCGGCTTAACTGTATCCATTCGAAAAGATTCAAAGAAGGGATTTTCACCTTTTCCAATCAATTAAAAATGTGGGTTAGGCTCTTTCTAAAAGGGATTTCTACATTTTTCAGTGGGGCAAGATCTGTCATAAAAATTCTTAATTTGGAAGCAAACAACGATTTATTTATTTCTTGGGAAGATAATTGTTTTTTGGTTTTTTTTTTTTTTTTTCAGGAGTTTTTGGCAATTTATTGCTCACTTCCGGCTGGTAGAAGGGGGTAGTCTGTATAGTGCCTAATGATAGAGCATGTAATAAATAATAAGGGGGTAAATAATATGCAATTGGTTAGAACTGAAGTCCAATTTTTAAAATGAACCAGTTGTTGATTTATAGATGGTTCTTCTCTTACAACTGAGGTTTTTGAAGTTGTTGCAGTCACACAGAACGGTAATTTTTTAACTTGTACAAGTATAAGAAAAGGGAAGGGGAGAGGAAAGGCATGTCATAACCATAAGTTACATTTTGCATTTGCATATATAGCTACATACAGACATTTGTATTTGTTAAAACATTTTCAATGGGCAAAAGTTACAGGTAAAAAATAAATCTATGTAAAATGAAAAGAATTATTGCAAAGGTATTTTGATTTAATTACAAAGACTAAGAATAAAAAATACTACCTTCCCTGGCTTACATTACTAATATTAAAAGTAAAGAGTTTAATATCAATCAACATTACATTAAATTTCCCAACAAAACATTTTAACGATTGATAACTTTTTCTTTGTTCCTTCTTTAATGTTAGTTCTGTGATAAGCAAGGCTCATAATTTTCTTTCCTCCCCCCCCACCACCACTACAAAAATGCATCATAAGCACAAATGCTTGATATGAAAAATCTATTTACAATAAAAAATTGCACAGGCAGAAAAATGTTTTTAAAAATACGTTATATCACTGACTTTTAAAGTGGTATATTTATTCAAATAGTTACAAAAGTATAAAAACAGAAAATCTTGATTTAATGAAGCATATGAAAATGTTAATTAACAATGACTAAACATAAAATGAATTTTAATTACATTCAGTAAAAATGATATGAAAGTAAATTAGAAAGATTTACTTCTAGAACTGTCTTTAAAATTAAAATCCTTATGTCATCGCTTTTGGACATACTAATAACAGCAAACTCCCAGTCAAGCAAGCTGAAATAGATTGCAACATAATGAAGCTTACTTATAAATTAACTATGCACCTAATGATAAGAAATTACAGAACTTCACTAAAAATCCTTACCTTTTTGCTTTAAGACCTAAAATAGCACCTAAGGTTCCAACAGCAGAAACGAATTCTTGCTTAAGCTCTGAATTTAAACTAAAATTAAAAGCAAATCTTAAGAATTAGCAAGTGTTACCGTAACTTAAATTTTAACTTTTATATATAAGCATTTAAATTAAATATTGGTTTTTATTTATTAGCATCTTCAATCCAAAAAATTTTATGAATTAATTTCAATTATTAAGTGTACCCATCTATAATAATGATTTTTACCCAAGCTATAAATTTAATATGTTACTTTAAGAAATGGCATTTAATATGCTATCCCAGCTTTAAAAAATGCTGTTTTTTTTGGGGGGGGGGAATTAAACTACTTCAACCAGTGTGTTTTTGACCTTTTCATAATAATTGAGTATTTTACTAGTAAGATACTGCAAAGATCTGAAAAGACAATAATCAGATCAAGACTGAGGTGAACAAGGAGGGCGGGCAGAGCTTCCCTTGGGATCCCTAACTTTTGTTGAACGACCGTGCAATACAATATGTGGTCATGTGTACTAATGCTGGATGTCAAAACAAGATGTCCTTAAGTAATACCTGCTCTTAGTCAAGTTGATCACAAACATCTGAAAACAATAGTTTTTCTCACATTAAAAAGCTCAAAGTGAACCACACCATGAATCTTCTACCCAAAACACAGAAGAGCCTTTATTGCATGGATACTGAATTGTAAAATTTATCTTAGTAATTCTCCAGTGCAGAAACAATGCTTTTTTCCCATCATTGGATTATTAAAGAAAAATCCATATTTTATCTTTTATTATAATATAGTAAAAAAACTCCCCCCCCCTTCAAGTCTATGAGCAAGTTGCATATGGAAGATCTTTACAATTTATTTTCATCATTGACCATAAATTGAAATTATGCTCAATGAAGAGAATAAATTGTAAAGATCTTCAATATGCAACTTCCTCTGGGACCTCAGCATGCTGAAATTCCCAATAGATTTCAAGTGATATTGAACTGTTGACTAAGACCATTCACCTATTCCGAGATTGCCTACAATGTTTGGAAAGAATCTTCTTCCACCATAGACCATAAATGTCATCATTAAATGGAACTGAAGAACCGCTTACAGAGCATCTCCGATGTCAAAATTGCAATTTAAAAAAATCTATTGAATTTATCGAATATCTAAAAAATTTGTATACATTGCATTGAAATCTGAAGTTGTAGCACTTGCATTATTAGTGTAATTAAAATGAAAGAGCATAAAATTTCTAATATACTTTTACTTATTTATTGTTATTCAATTGATAAAAGACATCTAACACTCTTTAAAAGATCTCAGCTGAAAACAATGTGTGTATACTTAACAACATTACTTTTCTAATATTTAGATAAAATTGTATATTTTACTCTAATTTTTATTCAAAAAAGAGAACAATTTTTTTCCCATTGAATTAGTCAATACCCAATGATATAGATATATAGATTATCCGTGAACTGCCTCTGAAAAAACAATTTACGACTAGTATTTAAGTAAAAAAAAACAATTTAAGACTAGTATTTAAGGAAAAAAATCTTCTCACAATGATGCAGCAAATTTCACGGCTAAGTTTTTACAAGTTAAGCTTTTTATGAGTTTCTTTCATTATTTTAATAGGTAAGAATTAAAATTTGGAATTTATCTATTGGGGGACGTGAGATTCTTGCAAAATATTCAACAATTTTTAATCACATTACTGGAAACTTAGACCAAAAAGACCACAACATAGTATGGCATCTGAAATCAAACGCTCATAACTGTGACGGAAATATGCTCATCTGAAAATGCAAAATTGGATAAATTGCTATTTACTTCTAATCTGAAATTGCAGTGAACAAACATTTGTGGATTGGTAGGAAAAACATATGGCCAAAGACAATTATTTTTTGAAATATTTATAATAAATATACAGAGTGGTTCGAAACTATATGTTAAAAATGCGCAGGCAGGTAGAGGGGACCTAAATAAGCAGATTTCGTACAGGAAAGTGTGTGCAGTAATGCCACGTTGAGCCGGTAGAGTGTTGCAGAGTATAGCATATAAAAGTGCTGTGCTAGCTGGATTCTTCATTTTCTGCATGGATCTCGAGCAGCATGCTCCGTTACACCAATGCAGAGCTTGCCGACTTGCACTTCATGTATGGAACTGCATAAAGAAATTAATTAACTGCTCAAAGAATGTACAAGCAGCAATTTTACAAGGAGGTCTTACGTAAACCAACTTTTCACAGACGAATGTGGTTTCAGCACGATGGAGCCCCAGCTCACTTCAGCAGGAACATCAGGAATCATGTGGAAGCTGTCTACGGCCAGCACTGGATAGGACGGGGATGGTCCGTTCCCTGGCCACCGAGCTCTCCTGATTTAACCTGCTTAGATTTCTTTTTTTGAATCATATTAAAGGCCTCGTGTACAGGAGTACCATCACATCTGCAGAAGATCTTGTTTCCCGCTTGTCTGTTGGTGCTGGACATGTCTGACGTTTTTTCTAAAGTATGTTGATCCATGCGCCACCACTGTGAAACTTGTATTGCTATTGGTGGCCGCTCTTTCAAGCACCTATTGTAAACTGTTATTTATTTATTTATTTTATTTTATTTTATTTTATTTTTTCCCCCTTTACTTGTCTTTTCAGTTTCCTGTGATACATACTGCTTTACGTGCTAGCGCTTTAATGCGACATTACCACACATGCATTCTTATACGAAATCTGCCTATTCAGGTCCCCTCTACCTGCCCTTACATTTTTGACATATACTTTTGAACCATCCTGTATATACAGAGAGACCATCTTATCACGAACTATGAATAAGACTACTGGAAAAATACAATAGCTGAAATCAATGGGTTTCTTCATGAAGCATAAAAATCCAAACTGGCAAAGTCCTTCTGGATAACTGGTCATTTGGCGGATTATAAAGAGCGGGAGCAGACTGAAAGGGATGCTAAGTACTTAATCATAATAAATGTTTCTGACAGAAAAGTTAAACGTCACATATGCATTATTGGGATTGTATAAAACAAGAGATTTAAAAGAATGATGAATCCAAGCACTATAAACTACATCTCAGTGTAACACCACAGATGACATATTGACTGGCCATACATATTCCTTGAATGCATACAGGGTTCAAAAGAAAAAAGGGGGAAAACACCCACACACAGAACTGTATGCCTACACTTTTAATTTTTAAGGGAGAAAAAATATAAAAATATCTTCACGTTATTTGCATATCCACAGAAGTACAACTTGCCAGTGACAGGCTGATATTCACTTTAAGAAGGTCAGAAACATATATTAATTAGCCCATTCCTTACTTGTTATGATGGGGGGGAACTGTTGAAAAACAGACTGGCTATCTTCAAACCAATTTCCAATCTGCATTTCAACAAGCTGCCTGCAGTTTCTGACACAGCTGTTCAACTTTTTGCAAATTACATCTTCATAAAATGTGAATTCTCACATTCTCTGTAATTAGATGCAACACTTGAGAAGAAAGCCTAATTCCACACTCTCATTATCATTTGTTAAACCAAAAAAAAAAAAAAAAATACACTTCAGAGTAAAAATAGATCAGTGAAATGACAGCTATCCACATGTACTCAAACACGTGTATATAGTACAGGGACATGTGTATTTTCTATAATCATATATATTCTCAAAAACACATCTAAAGCACAGTAATTCAACTAGATTTTGAAACTGGATAGAGGGAACAATTAGGAAGTAGCAAACAAAATTAAATTGGAGACTCGTTTATTGCAAAGCAAACTGAATGATTCAATACCATCGAATGTCCCTTCATCCCATCGGGCCTCACTGGCAAATTTCAATCTTATTATGCTTCATTTTAATTTTGATCAAAAGCATTCTTATATAAATGTAATGGCAAACACAAATTAACAGTTTTACTATAAAATTTCAGCACACACTTGTATAATACACTTAAATATAATAAATGTACATATTTAAATCCTTTATAGCACCTAAATATGCAGTAGAGCTACTGAAAATAGTTATGTACTTTACAGATTATTAACAAAAATAACCATGCAACTTTTATATTTGTTGATATATAAATTCAAAACTTCTAAAACTCTATAATACATTCCAAGATTAAATCAACTAAAATATTCAGTCTAAAGTATTTGATTACATCACGAATAAACTTGCATTATTTTAAACTTATGACGAACATAAAGATTAGATTAATATAGCATGCAGTCTGTGAATTCCTGTGATTAATGGATTCAGCCTATTTTTGGATAAATTCCAAATTGCTCAAATAATAAAAGTTTGAAATTTCTACATTCCAAAAATATAATTAATGAAACACGTGAATTATATGTATGATTTTAATTATATGTATGAATTATATGTATGATTAAAAAATTTTGAGAAACCAAACTTTCCTCTCTCAAAGTCAGATAATGGAATATAAATACTGTCACAATAAAAATGATTTAGGCAGGCATGTTTTATACCATTACACTTGTAACAAGCTTTCCATTTTTGAAAATGAGAAACACCATCTCGAGATATTAGTCATAATTAGCATAATTGTGGAGCATAATTGTCAAACTTTTTGCAAAAGAAAAAGAATGATAAGCTAATTGGATAAATCAACACAATTAGTGAAATAAAAAGCATTGATTTAAGCAATATCAACTACATTTTGAATTGTTAAGAAAAATAACTGCAAAAACATACCCAAGTTGAATAAAATCCTCAAATGTTGAAATAATCTCTTCTCTATTAGCTTGGATAATCTAATAAAATTTTAAAAAAAAAAAAAAAATTGAAAAGTTATAATTCAATTATCTTTAGAATTTGACAACTATATTTTATGTTAATTAAAAAAAAGATAACTAAATGCAGTTTAAACTGTCAATTATTCCAACAGATCCAAATGAAACTTCCAAAATGGCATGATGTAAAATTGGCATGTAAAACATCTGATGTGGACACCATATTATTTCTTTCTACACCTATTAAATTATACATACTTTTTACTGCATTTCATTTAAACTTATATCCTCAAATTATTCTAACTTAATTAACCAATACCTCAAGACAACTTGAAAATGACATCAAAAACGGCAAATTTTGAAATTAAGTATCTGAGGCAATTTTTGCTGTATAGAAGTCAGATTTCTGGCAAATTTTTTTTTTTTTTTTTTTAACTAAAAAATGATGATAAAATGCCAAATGTGCCTAACTTTTATTTATCTCTCCAAAGTAGCATTGTGGCAACTTAGTCACATGAGACATGTATATATATGTATGTACAGTCAAAAGTCGTTAATTTGGACACCCATAATCTGGACCTCAAAGCTAAAAACTTTCTGCACATGCGCTGCGTTGACACATGGACATAGGTGTTTACTCGTGCGTGTAAGATCTTTTACGACTGTGCATATGCGTGTGCGCAAGTGCAGAAAACGTTTTCGCGTGCGCGTTTTATGTATAACGGATGGTATAAGCTAAAATTATCTAATTATCTATTTCAGTTAATGTTGATGATTGCGTTGTTCCTTAATCTTATAATTGGATCTGGCTTATTATTTTTTGCAGACTGTTAGAGCAATTTTATAAAAAGTAAGCTTGAAGTTTCGATTATGTCAAAAAGAGTTTCAGATTCTGGAACTGCCAAAGGATCTACAAAGCGAAAGCATGTTTCAATGTCCATCAAACAAAAAGTGAAATTGCTGCAAAAAATGGATAAAGGTATGAAGAAAGTGACAGAGAGGTTAGTGAAAACGAAAAAATTTTGATTGACAAGTTAGTCGGTATTTTCAGCACAGCAATTACAGGACTTGAACAGTGGAACTGTGTAACTGAACAAGAAATTATGTCTGTTTATAGAATTAAAGAGAAAGTATTATCACATAAAACGAAGCAACTTAAGCAACTTACATTGCAAGAAATGTTTAATAAAGTAAACAAATACATATTAAACTTTTTTTTTTTTTTTTTTTTTTGTAAATTTTGATACCCTTTAGATTATAATTGTTCTTTATTTCATATTACGGTTTCATATTTTTAATTTTAGAATTTCTGCATGCCATCTTACGAGATTTAAACTGATGATCTATAATCCGGAAAAATCGATAATCCGGAATCGCCGAAGTCTCGACGAGTCTGGATTAACGACTTTTGACTGTACAAGATAAATTAAAACTGAAAATTTTTAAATCACTGGATTATATAAAATAATTAATTTTGAAGGAATACCTAATTTTTTTAGATTCCTTTTGTTGAGGTTGTGTTTGAAAAAGCCAATATGAGCAGTAAGCTGAATTAGAAATTTTTTTGTTTACAAAATAAAGGGATGAAAAGTATATTTGAATTGCATATGGAAGGAGATTTAATTACGTCAAAACCTGAATGTCCCATTTGTAAGAACGGCATGCAATTTGTGGAGTGCATGGACAAAATAAATGGTTTTTATGGGCTTGTCATAAAAAGGACACAGCCAGCATTATTACATTAACAGCTTTATAAGGAATGGATCATGGTTTGAGGAAAGTAAGTTGAATCTCTTCTAATAATTAAGTGACACTTGTATTCAAGCACTAAATATAGCAGTCTATTTATATTGTATCATGAATACCTAATTGGAAAAATCCTAATTGGAAAAAACCAACCTACCTTGGAAAAATGTACACGAGAGAATATTAAAATTAAGTAGGTTTTTGGTTTTTCCACTACAAGTTGCAAATCTTTTCTCAGGTAAGAATAAAACTATTGTAATGTTGTGAGGCAGTGCAAAATGGCAAAATAAACATCAGCAGAGTACTGCCTGCCATCATCTAGATTCCTTTGTAATTATGAATTTACATGGCATTGTTTTAGTAAATTGATTACTTAAGAAGATGCAAATGTTTTCAGCAGTGTTTAACAAAAACTGGAAGCTTTATGCTTTTTGGTCCAACCTGAAATTAATATCCTAAATTCTATTTTGTATTTGTCTTTGCTTTTCATATTTATACTGCACTTAATAAAATAAGCTTTTTTTACAATTGTTAAGGTTGCCACCTAGTTAGTTTTTACACCAACAGTTATATTTGTTGCTAAGTGCCCTATTAACAGAAAAGAACAATGACTTTCATTTACTTTATTATTACTTCTGAATACTTAAAATTTAAATACACTCAAAATTTACAAAAATAATAGTAGTAAATAAATAATTTTAAAAGTTAATCAGAAATTTTATCAATCCCAATCAATGTAAAGATACAGCAAAATACTTTACTTTTAGCATGTCTTTATTTATTTACATTAACTAGTACATCATTATATTTTCACTTGTTAGCCTCCAAAAATAAGTTGCTGAAAGTTGCCAAATAAATTCTGGTAGAAAATTAACCAAACAATATTTCAAAGAATGTTTACAATGAATTAAAAGATGTATGATTATTTAACACACAAATACCTAAGAACTAAATTACCTTATAATTTTCAGAATGTTCAAATATCATCCTTAATTGCCGAATCAAAGTGGCTTGTCTTTCTCGATCTTCATCCCTTAATAAACGATGAAGAATGGTTTTAAGTCTGTTTTCGTCAATGACATGACAGTTATCAAGATGACCTATAAAAAATACTTGTTTATTTTCAGCTGCAAGCTCAATATAAGACAGTTTTTAAGATATAAGACTAAAAATTTTAATTTCAATATTTAAATTGTTCTGTACATAACACAAAAACATACTGTTTGATAATTTAATGCAATTTTCAGAGTAGCATGACCACTGGTCCCAAGATATTCAATTTGTATAGATTAACTTATTTAAAATACTTTTCTTTTTCTTGTATTCTTTAATGATATAAATATCCTAACAAATGGAAGATGATGAAAATTAAAAGTAAAGTAATTGGATATATCTAGCTAATAAATGCTGGTTAAATACAATTCATCAGCAGATCTAAAATTCCCTACCACTCAGATGGTTAAAATATCAAATACTACAGCTTATTAATAATATATAAGATAGTCATACAAATTACTTTAACAAATTTGAATACATCAAATATTTTACCAACTGCCAAATAAGATAACTTCAAAACTTTTTTAAGTTCTACTGTATTAATTAGACATTGAGAATCTATTATTAATAATCAACAGCCCCCTAAATGTTATCTTTAACGGGTCAGTCCACAAGTTCGTGCGCATTAAGAGTATGCGTGGAATTCACTATGACGCATTTACTAAAACAATACAATATTGAACCTGTTGAAACTTATTATCGTTTGACTAACATATTATTCAGCTCATCCCCAACTTTCGTAAATATCAAACGTATTTTAATACCCACAGAAGATGAATATAGATAATCAGTACAAACGTGCTGTGCTACATTTTTTATTTTCGTGTGGTGAATCTACCAAGTTTGCAGCGATAAAAATTAATAGTGTACACGTGAACACACTATTAGTGTAAGGACCGTCCAGAAATGGTTTAAAAAAATTTTAAGTTGGAAAAAGCAGCATTGATGATGAACCCCGTTCATGTTTTGAACTATTAGAACCAAATCAAACGATTCATTCAGAAGTTTATAGTGAACAACTTTGTCGTCTAAACTCAAAATAAATCAAAAAACGCCCCGATTGGTGAATATCAAGAAAGTGTTGTTTCATCACGATAACGCTAGACCGCATACGGCCTAAAAATGCTGCAAAAAATTCGTGAAATTAATTGGGAGCTTTTGCCACATCCTGCTTACTCCACAGATATTACCCCAAGTGATTTTCACTTACTTTTTTATTTCCCAGTAAAATTTTTTACAATTTACAAAAAATTAAATTCTAAACAGGACGTACACAATGAACTTTCAAGTTTTTTTGTTTTTTTTTTCATCAAAACCAGTCTTTCTACAGCAATGGCATAAAAAAGTTGCGTGTAAGATGGCGAGACATTGTAGATAATGGAGGAAAATATGTAACTGATTAAAATGTTAAATTGTTTTTTTATATTACTAAAAATTTACCAAAAATTGCACGCGAATTTATGGACTGACACAAAACAATACTGCAATTGTGTTATGTTTTTTTCCTTGTATTTTACCATCATTTGTGGTGCTTTTATGCTTGAATTTCTCGATACTTGCTGCTATATAATCTTTACAATTCTGCATCTCAGTTTTAACTCTTTTTATTGCAGATGTGATTTTACAGCAGCATTTTGTTTTCTCTTTATATTCTTGAATGTTACTATGATATGTTCCTGTCATTTTATTTATTTACAATTAAAAAAATAATTTTATGCTTCCTATTCAAAAACAACACATTTCAGTAAAATATATAAATGAAATTTTGCTTCAGAAGTAAGAATATTTGCTACTGAAGAAAAGAGGTCTTTATTTCATAACCCCTGAAATCAATGAGCCTACACTAATCCAAGATTGCTTTTCTTCCTAATTTTAACACCACACTGGAATGTTTCTCTACCAATTAAACTTTAGTCTGAATAATAGCTTGATGGTTCTTTTATGATTGAAGAAACAGACAACAATTTGGGAAAATATTACAGTGTTTGAAAAGAAATGAAAATTTATGTTACTTTTCCTTTCAGCACCTACCATGCATTTTGACAGGTTTTTTTTTAATTGTAAATAATTTCCAGCAATAAAAATAGGTTATAGAGTAATTTATTATTATAAATAGCATTTTTAATTACAAAGAATGTTTTTCATTCTTAATTAACATAAGCTGCAAAAAATAAGGACACTAAACAGAAGACAAATTTACAAATATCTACTAGTACGGCAGAAAACATTTCGGCCTTTGGAAGTAGGTGGGGCCAAACGAATTGTACTAAGGAGTCAAAATATTGATGGGCAGTGCCTTTTTGGCATTTGTTGCACCATTTAGCACTGCTTCAAAATTGTTCAACAGATTGAGTATGTCAACCTATGATTGGATCAATAAAATTAAATGAAAGATTCACTGTGAAGTGATTATATTCAGCAGCTTTCAATTCTGATGATTTAAAATCATTCCAGCAGTCTAAGAATATTGTTGTTTCATCTTACTATTCTCTATCACATCCCTTAGTAGTGTAGTCTTTAATAGTCTTAATAGAGAGATCTGGAATAGCAACTAAGAATCATTCTCCCATTTCTCGACACAAACCTCCAAAAACCCACTAATAAGAGGCGATAAGAGGTAATATGAGATATCTATTATATTGCTCTTTTTATCAAAATTATCAAAATCAACAAACGTTTGTGAAAAACTTTTTTTTTTTTTTTAATTTTGTCAGTATTACCAATCTTAGTTTTAGGATGAGACATCAAAAAACTCCAACATACCTCTTTGAGATAATTGTTCCAATCCATCATCATGTTGTGATTTAATTGAAGTTGTCACTTAAAAAAATCAACAGAAGTCAACTTTGTGCATCAAAAAAATTACTTGAACAAAGAAAGGGAATCAAAGGATTTGGTCCCCAGATATAGATGAATACTTAAATAAATTTTAATTAAAATTTTAAATGCTAATCAAAGCTTTTTTGTGTGTTATGTGCCTGCCACATGTTCTGGCGCATGGCAGGTGACACAAGGTGCTGTACTTCTCAGGTGGTCATTTGTATATAAACTATTTTCACAACTAGAAACTGCTTAAAAATACCTTCAATACGTAGCCAGCGCATAACAGAAAAGTACCAAATTTATTTACAAGAACTTAGTCTGAATAATAGTTCTGAAAAATTCTACTTTTCAGTTATTTCTAGTCACATTTTCTTGGCCCTAGATGACATACATGCTAGTAGAAGTTGATAGCTAGTCTGAATTTAAGGGCATGACCTCGACTCCCACATTGGCTGTTACGTTGTCATCCTTTCACCCCCTTTATGTATGTATTACTGATCATTGAATTAATGTTAAATCATAACACATTAAACTACGATATCAGATACGAAAACAAATGGAAGACAAGTAAAGAAACTACATGGAAGTGCAATTATAAGAAGCTACCAATAGAAAATAGATTTTTCTGTTAAAAATTAGTCTGAAGGTACCAGAATATCCTTTTTGAAAGCATGTTATAATTGACTTACAACTGATATTTTGAAATGTTTATCAAATACTGCAAAAGAAATTTTGATACAAAAACAGAAAGAACAAATTATTAATGTAAATAATATAAAACAGCTTGCTTTCTACTGTATAAGAAAGCTATTTCACAAAACTAGATGAAAATAGAACTCAAAAACTTATTTACTCAAGCAAATGCAAATGGTGTTGTGAATACTTCTTTTGTCACAAAGAAAGTATATCTCAAAATAACTGAAAAGTATCTCTAATGAAAAATGCCATTAGCTACCAGTTATTGTTAAGAAAGACTGACAAATTTAGAAAACTGGATCAAATTTTAAATTCTTTCTAAATAAAAGTATATGTTCAAAATATAGAAAAAACTTCATTAACAGTATGTTACCCATATGAAAGTTAGCCAAAAAAAAATGTAACTTACATGAAACATACAAAATTATCATCTATAAAAAATATTTATTAAAATGCATAATGAATAAATAATTGAAAGCCTGAACTAATTTGATCAATCACAAAAAATTCTATTATATTCTAAAAGTTTTTCAATTTTGAAGAGGAAATGAACATCTTAAAATTTATACAGTACAAAGTCTTTAATCCGGACGTTCATAATCCAGAATTATCTATAATCCAGACCTCAAAGCTACAAACTTTCTGCACATGCGTAGAGTTTACGCATGCATCATTTTGATGTATAACGGACAGTATAAGCTAGGCTAAAATTATTTATTTCAGTTAATGTTGCAGATTGCATTGTTCCTTAATCTTATAATTGGATCTGGCTTATTATTTTTTGCAGACTGTTAGAGCAATTTTATAAAAAGTAAGCTTGAAGTTTCGATTATGTCAAAAAGAGTTTCAGATTCTGGAACTGCCAAAGGATCTACAAAGCGAAAGCATGTTTCAATGTCCATCAAACAAAAAGTGAAATTGCTGCAAAAAATGGATAAAGGTATGAAGAAAGTGACAGAGAGGTTAGTGAAAACGAAAAAATTTCGATTGACAAGTTAGTCGGTATTCTCAGCACAGCAATTACAGGACTTGAACAGTGGAACTGTGTAACTGAACAAGAAATTATGTCTGTTTATAGAATTAAAGAGAAAATATTAGCACATAAAACGAGGCAACTTAAACAACTTGCATTGAAAGAAATGTTTAATAAAGTAAACAAATAAATATTAAGCTTTTTTTTTTTGTAAATTTTGATACCCTTTAGATCATAATTGCTCTTTATTTCATAAATTATGGTTTCATATTTTTAATTTTATAATTTCTGCATGCCATCTTACGAGATTTAAACTGATGATCTATAATCCGGAAAAATCGATAATCCGAAAACACCGAAATCCCGATGAGTCCGGATTAAAGACTTTGTACTATACTAATTATTTAGGAACTAGCATTGAAAGAAATGTATATCACACATGGACAAATAGCATACAGCTCTCAGGTCTCAACTGCAGCTGACAAGCTGCACAAGACCCTGGCTCGTTAAATTAGATTTGCCTGCAACAAAAAGTACTTTTATTTTTTAAATATAATTTTATTTTGAAATAGAAATCAGACAACTCACTTCTTTATCATTAGTAATTTAATTTCTTAAATTAAAAAATGTGTATAATTTTATTTCGAACTCCTGTGCATTAAATTAAATGATAATTGTTTCTGTCAATCACCATAATTGTCATGTTATTTTTAATGTAGGTAATGGTCATTCGGAGAGTACAAAAAATACTACATGCAATATCTTTTTTCTGTCTTAAGTTTTATTTTAGGCATTTAAGCAGTTATTTTAGATAATTTAGTATCTTTTGTTTAAACAATTTTTTAAATGGTATAGTATTACAGCCCTTCAATATAATTCTCCTCCTCCTCAACACTTGTGAATCCATGTCTCAGAAGATCTGTTTCTTGCAGGTTACTGTTTTTTCTCCCCCCCCCCTAGTTCTCGAATGGCTTGTATAATTATCAAAGGAACTTCTTTAAAAAAGTAAAAATACAGTCCCTACTCAGACCCTTTAATGAATCACCAACTATTTCAGATCTGGTTAGTTTCATGCATAGACTTTTTGACAGATAAGGTTACATTTTCTACTCATATATGGTCAGCACATTTGTCATAACATTCCCTTATCCATTCCTAAGCATTAATCATCCCTGAATAAGTAACATTATTTTCTTGCACTTTTCTGCATTCAACACTTTTTTTGCATATTTCAACCACTCACAATAATGAGCAGCAGTTACATATTTTTAGATATGTAGCTGTTATAAATACAGCACTATCTTTCATAATCTTTTTTTTTTTTTTTTTTTTTTTTTTTTTGGTAATCCTAGAAAGAGATCATCGTTTATGACTGCGTATGTCGAAATTTTTAAGATAGTGGAGACACTTCTTCACTTCTAGCCTGACCGTAATTTCGATTCTGGTTTTACGTTTCATCATATATTTGAGACAGAAATCTTTCACCTCTGCCATCCCATATTCATTTCAATCAAAGCACATCTGCTAAATAACCTGTCAAGCTATTGACAAACTTAAATTCTCAAAATACAGTGTGCTGACGCAGATGAAATAAATGAAGCTTGAAATATTTCTTTGCAAGCTGCTCCAAATTCTCCGCCCACCCCATCTAGCCCATTACAAGTACATTTCTTTTACCTGCTGATACAGTCAAAAGTCGTTAATCCAGACTCGTCTGTACTTCAGCGATTCCGGATTATAGATCATCAATTTAAATCTGGTAAGATGGCATGCAGAAATTATAAAATTAAAAATATGAAACCGTAATTTATGAAATAAAGAACAATTATGATCTAAAGGGTATCAAAATTTACAAAAAAAGCTTAATATTTATTTGTTTACTTTATTAAACATTTCTTTCAATGTAAGTTGTTTAAGTTGCTTTGTTTTATGTGCTAATACATTCTCTTTAATTCGATATAAACAGACATAATTTCTTCTTCATATACAAAGTTCCGCTGTTCCAAGTCCTGTAATTGCTGTGGCGAGAATACCGACTAGCTTGTCAACCAAAATTTTTTCGTTTTCACTAATCTCTCTGTCACTTTCTTTATGCCTTTATCCATTTTTTGCAGCAATTCCACTTTTTGTTTGATGGACATCTAAACATACTTTCTCTTTGTAGATCCTTTGGGAGCTCCAGCATCGGAAATTCTATTTGACATAATCAAAAGTTCAAGCTTACTTTTATAAAATTGCTCTAACAGTCTGCAAAAAATAATAAGCCGGATCCAATTTGAAGATTAAGGAACAGCACAATCTGCAGCATTAACTGAGATAATTAGATAATTTTAGCTTATACCGTCCATTATACATTAAACGTGCAAGCGTAAACGTATTATGCGCTTGCGCACACGCGCAGCCGTAAAGGTTTTACGCGCATGCGTCAACGCGACGCATGCACAGAAAGTTTGTAGCTTTGAGGTCCGGACTATAGATCATTCCGGATTATGGGTGTCCGAATTAACGACTTTTGACTGTACTTGGTCTTCCCAGCTTTCAGTTATCCGAGACATTCTTCATGAAAGCAGACAAGACTACAAATCACTGGAAACTTCCTGGAATGCAATATAAAATTTATTGAAATTTTACCATGTATATCTTCAGTTTTGAGATGTAGTCTTTCATTTTCTGCTGTGAGAATACCTGCAGAATTTTTCTGAATAAAAATGCTATCAAATTATTTTATCTTAAATAGTCAAGCAACATACTGATATTTTAATATTTGTAAAAAATGTATTATGAAAGGTTCTGAATGTGTAAATTTAGTATTACATGTCAGAATTATTTTATAATCAAATGCGGCACATTTTGAAAATATTACATCATTTTTGCTATTCAAAAGTCAACAATTCTACACCAATTAGTGCTATTTTCCAACCCAGACTCAGCTATCTATTGGGCTAAATGGGTTATAATTTAGGTGTGTTATTAATCTAACCAAAGAAAGTATGTTTTCTCGTGGGTGCTTTTATAAACTTCAATGTTTCAAGGGTTCATACATGACAGGTACAATTTTACTTATTTGATAAACTCAGTTTAAACATTATAATCCTTGAATTTTGTACTAAAAAATTCAATTTAAACATGCAGTTTTATGTATATTATATTTTATTTAATGTTATCAATATTGTCCTGGGCAGAATTTAACAAACTTTACAGTAATTATGTATGTTTTGGAATGTTGCACTGTATACAGCAGTCACGATTATTTGCAAAAATTCTCGGAACATACTTGTGGATACAGAAGTGCACTCTTAAACACTGAAGAACACGGGCTAATCAATAGAAGCCTAAAAATTTTGGAAACAAATTTTACTATACAACTCTCTAAGACTTATTAAGTACATTTCATATACAAGAAAAGGCCCACCAGTGGCCGAGCGGTAAAGTTGCTCAACACTAGTAGTTCGGTCAACTTGTGCAACCTATGTGCAACTTGTATACGAGCCAGTTTGCCTTAGAAAGTCTTCCACGAAGGCATCCCTCCCTTTAGGCAGAAAGCCCTAGTGTGCTTTGCCATAATTAAATACACCACACCACACCATATACAAGAAAAATAAAAAAAGAATTATATCACTTATTTTCTTTTACAATCATATTTAAAATTATATATAAAGAATTTTAGTTAAACTGTCTTTCAGAAATATTAAAAGGTGCTCTTTTAACTCGAATATTACATTTATGCAAAGAAAACAATGACTTATGACAACTTATGCTGCAGTTTGAACCAGGCACCAGCGCGAATGCCCTATCCAGAGCAAACACCTTGAGAATTTTCCAACGATATTACGAAACTAATAGCGTTATTTACAAGAAAGCAAAATACACTATTGCTTAAACTAAGATCAATTTATTTAATTAATCACTTGCAGGCATTAACAAGAAAAGCATGTTTATACCTGAACGCTTGGATGCGAAATCTCTTTCGCGGGAGTTGGTTGCTCTGTTGTAATGAGAACTGTAGCTTAATCGTCCAGCTGATTCATTCCTCATTGTATCGGCGTGTGATACACGGCAAGGCGAAATTTCTCCACTGGAACTCTTTGAAAAGTTCGACTGCAGTTTACCTCGTTCCTGTCGACGAAATACGAGACTGCCTTGACTATCCCTACTAGTTGAGCGGGGTTTTTCCACAAAATTGTCTTTATATCTCGAATATGAAGAGGCATGTGCTGAATTTGGTCGTTCGGAAGAGCTACGCCGAGTGGGAGGTTCATCTCCATGCACACGTTCATCGTCGTCACGTCTTGTTCGGATGAGTTTTTCTCTCCTCGGCTCTTTATTTCTGCTAAAGAATCTCTGATTCATTACCCTGTCATAAGGCCAAGAAAAACTGCACACAACGTTATCAGCTGTAGTCGTCAAAATTGGACCTGTGCAACATCGCCATGTTCAAATATACTATAGTTGCCATCTCAGAAACAGTTATTTTCCAAAATTCGAGTTTATTTACGAGTTTGTAATCAAAACTACAAACAATTCAGTACTAAACAAGTTCTGATGTGAGGTGGAAAGAGAAAGGCTGTATTATCTTAAAACTAAAATTTTATATAAAATAATTCATTTTTATTATTTTAATAATTGTTTTAAACCCTACAAGACTGTCATTCATGGCGAAGAGATTATCTCTGTGAAGTCCGGCTCCTCTCCGCTGAAAAAGAAGAATATCCCGTGTATTCGCTTCTCGTGTATCAGTTCTTGTGTATTCTAAACGATATGGAATAAAATTTAAGCAATTGACTCTCAAGCTCAAAATAAGATCTTATAGTGGGAATTCAAACGGATAGATTTACGTACTAGAAATAAGGTTATGCTCTTCAGCTGTATAAAACGTGCTTTATTGCATTTTGGTGAGTAGTGTAATATGTTATCATAACTTTTAATATCAATTTAACATTACGAAAAGGCAAAATGAACCATAAGTTGCCAAACATCAGAAAATAGCTTTCTAAAAGGATTGCCGCTGCTGCAATTCGTCACGTGATACTTTCAAGTAAACTGAAGCGGGTATATTCATTATTTATAAATGTCGCTATGAAGATTAAGGAATATCGAATACAAAGAACATAAAAAGTGTCGCTATAAAGAATTTTAGGTAATTTTCCTTTGTATGTCTTCTGAATATTTCCTTTATCCTTTATATCAAGTCTTCGTATCTATGAAAATTTCAGAAGTTTGTCAGAACTTAAGCCTTAAACTGTTAGAGAATTGACAGATACTTGCTTATGTTAATAACACATACTCATTCAGAAGTCAAACAACAAAAATCAGCGTTATATTTTCAAAATTTTTGCAGGACTAGTTTCGATGGTTTTACCGAACCACCATCCTCAGCTGCAAAACCGCAAATGAACTAGATATGAAATAATGACTAGATAAGATAAGAAAGCCTGGACAGGAATAAGCAAGTGGCGCCATCTGTTGATGAAACCAGAACTAAAACATAATTTCTTTAAAGGCCGAAGGCAAAGACGGATTGGAATTAGGATCGTTAACTAGAACCGAAAGATTTTTTTGAATGTGAAATGCCTCTAGAAAATCCCATTCTCCAATGGAAGATGTTTATTGAATAATTTCGGCAGCAGAAAAATTGAAAGTGTGATTTTCGGACCAACAATGTTGGGCAACAGAAGACTTCTGTGTTTTCTTTTTTCTAACATATGCCTCATGTTCCTTGACGAGAAAATTTAAGTCTATCTTAGTTTGGCCAATGTAAATTAAACCACACTGGCAAGGAATCTTATAAATATCCCAGGAATTCATATTCGGAATGGGGTCATTGAGTACGGAACTCGGAATTTTATTGATGGGAGAATACACAACCCAAAAGTTAAATTTCTGCAAAATATGTGCAACTTTATAGCTAATTGATGGATAGAAGGGAATGACAACAGAATATTTATAATCTCCTTAAAACAAGAATGTGTTTTTTAGGTGTGTTGAGATGAGAATTTTTTAACTGCTTGATTAATAACGTTGGGCGAAAAGCCCTTGTCAATAGCTATTGCTTTTAAATAATTTAGTTCTTCATCAAGCGATAGTTTGGAAGAGTAAATTTGAAGAGCACGGAAAACATAGGAATAAAATTTAAATAAACTAACAGCCGACAAAACAAAAGCTAAATTTTGTTTTAGTCGGATGACATGATTTAAAATGTGGTGGAAGGCAAACCGATGAAGGTTTACGGTAAACCGTAGTACTGAAGTTGGATAAGTCAAAAAAACTTATTGTCTTACTTACAAATACTACACTGTCATACAAGCAATAACAATTTTCTTTCTTTTGATTTTTGGCATATCTGTAATTTTATAGACTATGCTCAATATTTGAATTAAAACCTCTGTTACTATTACAAATTTTGAAAAATTTGGTTAATTTACTTTTAGAAGTACTGAAGCATTTAACTAATTAAAATTGATTGTTATTCATTCAAGTTCGTTTAATAAAAATAGATGAGTCCAGGAGAAGCTTGAGTTCCATAATAATTTAAGTCGTTATTTTATACTTTTTAGGGAAATTGAATTCTTTTAACATTCTAACTTCCTTTTTGGGTGCCTTCCTCTTACTTCGGCAATTACTCTTACTAGATGAATTCTTGATATCACCTTATTCCGTCGATGCATCAAAAAGACTTATTGTCTTAGTAACAAATACGTAGTCATATAAGCAATAACAATTTGCTTTCTTTTGATTTTTGGCATATCTGTAATTTTATAGACTATGCTCCATATTTGAATTCAAACCTCTGTTACCATTACAAATAGAAGTTTCACATTCTGCTGCTCTTGGATAAAATTCAAAATCATTATCAGTACCCCACTAAGGACTGGACCCAAGAAGTTAGGCTTAATGTGCAGCCAAATGAAAAAAATTTAAAATAAGCTATTTACTTGGCTCTAACACCACGATAAAGAGGTCAGAAATATTATTTGCCCGGGGTGGAAAATGTCTTCCTTTCTACATGACAGTTTACTCAACGCAATGAAAACTCAGCAAGGTATCGTAGGGACTATTTAAAGGCGTTTAGTTCAAGAATTTATCACCAATACTTGATTCTAGTGAATGATTTCTATTTCGGATGTAAAGAACTCCTGCAGCCTCACGTATGTTTGTCATCTTCTTGATGTTAAAGAAGAATATGAACATAGATACAACTTTTTTGGTACAATTTCTATTTATATTATATTCTTTCGTTTTAAAAAATTTGGCTAATTTACTTTTAGAAGTAGTGAAACATTTAACAAATTAAAATTTATTGTTATTCATATCAAATTCATTGTTAAGTTTGTTTAATAAAATATAAAGTATTATTAGTAGACCATAAAGAACACATTTCTTTAAGTAATTTTACTAACGGGAAAACAGGATTGAAACAAATGGCAAGTAGACTTTTGAAAACGAAAATCCAATGAACGTTTTTCTTTCGAACAGTCTTTTTTGTTGAAATTCGGCGAAAGAAAAATCGCACGCGAAGTGTTTCACAGACAACGCTTCAGTATGGCAAATGATGTTGCCACATTCATTTTGTTTCTTACATAGAGAAGTTCAGTCTTCTTCCAATAATTTGAAAATATAATTAATCTGAAATTTACATTCTTCGACAAATATATGCACCTTTTTTATTAGCCTTTAGTGGCATCACTAGTGATGAAATAATTTTGTGTTTAGCTAGTGTTAGCCGAAGATTTTAATAGATAAAAATAAAAATATGCAATAATTTCATTTGTTAGCGTAACAACTGTGAGATTTTTCAAAGTTTAGCGCAGTTAATCTTTTTTTTTTCGGGGGGGGCGATTAATAAATCGGAGAAGGCTAGGAAAAAATCAAATATGCATTCCAAAAGGTAAGTTATTTATCTTATTAGTGTAGGTACACCTTGCAAAAAAAAAAAAAAAAAAAAAAAAAAAAACTGTGACGGTTCTGTATCTTCCGTTTTACTAGATCGATTGCCGCAATTTAATTTGCGTTTTCCATGTCTCGAAAGCGCGACTTAGGATATATATTAGATTTATATATAGCATGGTTCTAACATAGTTATTTTGACATAAAACCGGACTTTTTCTGAAATAAGATACCAAATTTTTTCTATATTTCGATTGTATGACTCAAATTATGCCAAAGTGCCAAGTTTTGTAAATCCGTAAGAGTAGTTTTTAAAAATTTAGCTCTCAAAATTTTAGTTCCTCCATGTTAATTGAATTTTGTATATATCTATTAATACCTCTTTTTTCATCAAACTTATTTTATTCTTCCTTTCATATTTCGACATTTAAGTTCATTCGAAATAAAATTGGCCTATTTTTTATGATTTATTTTTAAAATTTGTATTTTTAATCAATTTTTATAAATTTTTCGATAAGAAATTTGCATTATAATAACCTATAAAATTTTTACAATCATCTGAAAATAAATGTATTTCTAAACATACCTGCAAAAAATTAGAGTTTTTTATTCAAAATTTCCTAAGATATATGGGAATTTACATATTGGCGTGTTTTCAAATGTGGCCACATGTTATTTGTTATAAGCGATAATAATGCCAAATGTGGTTTATACACTTTGTTAAAATTATTTGAAAGTGTGAACGATGACCTTTTTTCCGCTCATGGGAAAAAAGGTCAGAAAGGTTAAAAAAGGAAAGCAAAATAGGTTGCTATAATTTAAGAAATTCGCCAAGTAAATTATTCTCGGCGCAAACTGAAAAAATGCGCCAAGGTAAATCTTTAAATTTCTCACCAAGAACTACAGAATTTAATAGCTAGGCATAATTTGAGTCATAGAATCGAAATATGAAAAAAAAAAAAAAAATTGGTATGTTATTTCAGAAAAAGTTCAATTTTGTGTCAAAATACCTATGTTAGAATAATGCTATATGTAAATCTAATATCTATTGTAAGTCGTGCTTTCGAGACATGGACAACGAAAGTTAAATTTCGACAATCAGTCCAGTAAAACGGGATCTATGTGCAAGGTGTGTATAAACATCAACCCTGATATATTGTCATATTGCTTAGTATTAAACTTCTATATACTTTACTTTTTGTAACATCCAATTATCTTCATTGGGAATAGATAAGTGACCACTTTGGCGGAACAGTTATTTAAGATTTACGTAGACAATACTCAATGAACTGTAGTAACGTACTTATGTATGAAAATAGGAAACTTGTTTATAATAATGCAATAGAAATCCTTATTTTGGAAACCGAAGGCTAAAAATAATATAAATGACAATAGAAGTCAAGTCATCTGCTTATAGGATGCGGCATTTCTTTTCAAATCATTGGTTTTATTCTCTTTCTCACAAAGTATCTGAATGCATATAGTAGTCAATAGTTCATTTTATCTTTATTGCAAAATTAGTCTGAGCCATAAATAATTTGATTTCCCACCTCGAATTAGCTTCCTTTAAAGTTTCACTTTAATATTTCGCATTAAACTGTTTAATTTTTAGTTTCAGTTAATTCTAATAAAATCTACGCATAGAAGACGACGACATTTAGTTCAAGAATATGTGATAACGACAATTAATAAGAACTGCTAGAGTGCTACAATTACATTAATTATGTTTTCTTTAATTAATGTTACTTTCGGCCCCTGTACCATTTTCCTGTTTTCGTGTATTATAATTAAATCATGGCATTCGTTGCATAGTGCATTTTGAACCAGTGAATAGATATAAAGTGTGCGGGATATTATTTAAATCGATTCTGTTGGATACATTTGTTCCAAAACTCTGCAAATCTTACAATTTTCCGGAGTAGCTGAAATTTTGAAGACTAACTTGAAATTGTTCATATTATTGCATTTCATGGATTCATGCTTAATTTCCTGAATGATTAGCTCAATGGAAAAGAAATTTGATTTTTATTGAAGAATTTAAATAATTATATTCAGTAGGATGATGCATAAATTAGAACTTAAATTCTAAAATTAGAATTTCCGGAGCCCTATAAAAGGCTATCAGGAAAAAAAGGAAAATTAAATACTAAATAAAATTACTCGTAATTAAAATATGAAATTCAATAAAAGTAAAAGAGATAAATAAATATTTAATAAATTATTAAATTAGGGATAAATATAAATAAAATAAAATACCGGATTTCGTGTTATTTGGAGCTCCGACTGGAATTACAATTTCCCCCAAAAACTAAGAAATAGCTCAGCCGACCTCCGACTGAATTTAAGCCCTGAATATATGGTATAGTATACTGTTTCAAAGGATAATAGATACAAAATACATTCTTTTTTCAGCATACCAATGAAAAAAGATTAAACGATTAAAGCGTCCTTATTGAGAGGGGAGGGTATGCTAGAAACAATATGAGAGTATGGAAGGACATTTGAATGAAGAAATGTAACTTCGAAAACATAGGTACCAGTCCTTAACACTTTCTGATCTCGATGTCCTGCCCACATAATTCTAGCTGTCAAGCAGGATGCAACAGGAGAAAAAATTTCTCCCGAATCCGTGAGAACAAGCATAAAACCCTGTACAAGTGACATCTCTCGTTTCCTCGTATTTGGTTGCATTGTTCAAAAAAATATGCAAGAGCTTCTTTAAGACCATTGGTAAATCACTAGTCTTGCACGCGCACAATCGGGGAGATAATTCCTAGTACGAAACAAAAAAATGTAATTGCTGTCATAAAGTTATTGTAATTCCTGGAGAATATGCCTTTGATATGTGGGTGGGGGCTTTTCTTTCCTTAAAAGTCTCAGTCTCAGTCAAAGTGTTTGTTCAGGAAAACACAGGCATGCATTTCAGGCTATAAAATCGATTTTTAAGGCATATTTATTATTAAAATAAAATCTGTGGGCTGAAATTGTGGATCAAAGGAAGTGACTGAACTCTTATTTAGGGCGCTATTGCTCTCCACTAGAATTACGATTTATCTAAAAACCGAGATATAGAAGAGCCTGGATCCGGTAGGTTCCAACGCAATTTAAGCTCTAATGTAAATAAAACATCAAACTTCGTTAAAGATATCACTGCGTAATTTTCCCTAAATGATTAAGAACTTTGTAGAGTATTAATTTATTTTCATTAATCAGTTATTTTATCTTAATGATCTTTACTGTCTTCCTCGCTTTTCGTTTTCCTGCCAGAATGCTATTCTCTAGTTCGCGTGTACTCAAATGAAATAGAACAGATAGTATTTAAAGGAAGGTTTTAGATTGTAGAATCAGAGCGTGTTCCGTCTTCTGAAGGCAACGCTGCTAGTTAATTCTCTTGAAAGCAGTTTATCTGCGACGTTGTGTTATTCTCGCTATTAGGTTTGCACTCCGATTTTTAGGTTTGAGCCAACTTGAGCGCATTCTATCTGTGTAGCCTTTGGACTAAGTTGCAATTTACATAGTTAAATTAAATTCATTACTTTTGAATTTATGATACAAATGCTGATTGATTTTGTAAGCACTAGCTGTGCCTTCTGTTAATTTATCTGAGTTAATAAAAGAGCCTTTTACACCCTTTATAAGTCTCTGTAGTAATTTCAAAGACACAGCGAGAAGTTTGTTAAGACTTCAGAGTTTTCACTCAGTTTATGTTACCAAAAAAGAGTGAGAATCTGCAACTTTTTTACAAAAAAGTTCGCAGTTGAACAATAAACTCGAATGTAGGTGACAATTAAAGAATCTTGAGAAAAAGATAAAATAGCAATAATTCGCTAAATTCTCTTTAAGATTTAAATATAATGCCTTTCGGTAAGAAATCAACCGTAAATAAACTATAATTTGCAGTGTAAATAATACTTCAGATTTACAAGGCAATTCATTCCTTAGCCAGTGATAGAAGTCGAGACAAAAGTATTGGGAAAAAAGCGGCAGTCTGAGATAATGAATTTTCTCCAAATGAATTATTAGTAAAAATTTTAATATAAGTAAAATGAAAATATGTTATAATTTTTGTAATGCAAATATTATTACTATTGACAAATGTTTGCGGTTAGATCGTAATTGTAAAAATGAATCACGTATTGCGATGACAGGATCCTCGAAGACTGAAAGAAATCCTGCACTGAAGTCTAAAGCGACACTTTTCTTTTATAAGCACCTCAATGTACCATAACAGAATTCTTTCCTAGCTGCTGTTTCTCATTTGCTTTAAACACTTTTTTATTCTTACCCGTATTGTGGATACACCATCTGTAGAGATGCTTGTTCTAAAGATAAGATTTAACCTGTCGTATAGTTATGAAACAACTGAAACTTTTCCTCTTTGTGTAGGACCTGATTTCTCTTCTTCAGTTTGTTCAATGACGCTAATGGTTTTAAAATTCCAGACGACCTCAGAAATCAAGTTTCCATTATTGCGCATTCAAAATTTCATAATATCAGATTTTAAGATAACATTTCATGCCTTTTATTCTGATGGTGTATCGGACGGAAACAATTATTATACAACCTGATTTTTACACTGTTCAATATTGCATTATCTAAAAAAACGGTGGCGGGAAAAGAAAGGAAACTAATTACTTATAAGAATGATTCTTTCTAGTTAACGGGAGTTCTTGGCATTTTTCTTGATACACTATCATGTGAAAAGTATGTTTTGGTAGGTGATTGTCAATCGAGGCAATGCTTAACCATCCATAGCTGTCAAATATATCGAAACATGAAGCAATCTAGTCATATAAGTTGAAAACATTATCTTCTTATGAGTGTGATACTGCCATATACTTAGCAACTATATGTAGACTATCAAACGTTATATGTTTTAGAAATAAGTTATCTAGAATTTTTCGAAAGTGTTGATTGAAAACTTTATTTCCTTAAATACTGATCCATTGCAAATATTCTCAATTAACAAGTTTTTCAGACCACGATAAAAAGCAGTTAAAAAAATCACTGACAGTGGAAGGGTTTTATAGACATAAAATCTAAACTTTTACATGGTTTAAGTAAGTCTTCAATGAATAAAATATTCATTATGCTTTATTAATTAAAATACTGAAAGTTCTGTACAATAAACAGCAAAGTTCGCGGTATATTAACAATAAATTATTTCTCCGGACCAGTTTCAATCTTGTTTCATCAGCACCGTTAGTCCCCTAAACGAGATAAAATTACAAATCTTCAAACTGAACAAGTTTTTATAGTTGTTTTATAACTTCGATTGAAAAAATATCGAATTTCTAGCAATGATCGGTATTGCAAAATAATATAAACTAGTAAACACCTTGGATATCCTTACAAATTTTGTCCATAAAGGTTCGGAACATTTTATATAACTTATTATATTCCAATGAATGTTTTAATAATTGGACTTTTTATTCTACACTTAGGCATCATTATATTAAAAGTGTTTTAAAAAATTCTGCCTCCTTTTTTTCAGAAATTTTATATAACTGGAAGTAAAATCTATGAGTAATTTTAAGGAAATAAAAACCTGCAACTCCCCCTTTTTAATAATCTTCACGTAACTTTGAATGATTAGATGATGCAATATGAGTTAGTTATGATAAATATATAGGTTGCTAATAAGCAATTATTCGAATATTTGTCAGTTTTTACTGCGTTCTGTTAGAAACTCTGGGATAGCAGTGCAAAGAAATCAAACAAATACTCTCTTTTTTCCACACAGAAATATTTGTTTGAACTCGCTTTTACATTTATCATTGTTTATTGGGCAATACATAATTTATACGGTAAAAAGTATCACGGGTAAAACTTTGAAAACCAGTTTATGAGGTTTTTCACAAAATTATAAAAAGAATATGCGCTACATTTAACCTGTCTAACTCTCCGAAACCGTATTAACTCAGCAGAATAAAAACTCAACAGCTTAAAAATTCTGGCAAGCACCGAGATTTACTCTACTACTAACTTATATGACCTTAAAAAGGCCTATATTATGTAAAAATTTGTGCTACTTATATAAATCACTACTTATTGTGACTTCCAGAAATTAAACAAAAAATATCCACATTTTTCTCTTTCTCCTTTGCAATAAAGACTATTCTCATTTTAAATATTCCAACTCAATATTCATTCTCATTCTTTAAGTACTTCAAATCCTAATTTCAAATTATTACATCAGTTTCCAGCTTCTGTAGGATGGAATGATTCTAAAACCTTTTTCAGTTTTATTCTTTGCGTACTAAGATATTTCAGATTTTCTGTCAACTATCCCAAAAAGTTAAAGCAAAAAAGAATCTTACGTGGTATAACATGCTACACATATGAGGCTTCTTAACAACTAGTTAACTTGAGAGAATTATAATCCAGTCATTTAAACATTAAAAGATTTACTTTTAACATTACTTTTTCGTTAAAACTAAGAGATGCTCATAAATTTTGAAAAATTGAAAGTAAACTGTTAATAACCAAAAGGTTGTGGAAATATCTAGATATGATATGTCTCATGGGGGAGATTTTTTGAATGATCATAACCTTATTTATTAAATGATCCTAGATAAATTCAATATAGTTTTAAAAGAGAAAAAAAGGTTATTTCACAATCGAAAAGTTCTTCTTTCAGAAAACATGCATACCAACCTAAACACTTATGAAGGCTGGTTTACAGAAAAGAATTTCCTACATTAGAAACTTATTAAAGATTTTTGTCTTTAGGTACATGTATAATGCAGGAAGAAAAAGCTGTTTAGAACTAATCAAGAAAGGTTTTGTGAACGCTTTTGAAGAAATCCTTGAGTTGACCGACATAAATCGAACTGTCAGAGATCAAGCTGAGCTTGGAAATGTTAAGAGAATGCCTCCAGATATTCGGGAAGATACAAAAACTATGAACTTTATAATGGAAAGTTTAGTGAAAGCAGAGGACGCCGTTAGAGCAGGTACCAAAACAAACAAACAAACAAAACAAAACAAACAAACAAAACAAAACAAACAAAAAAAAATTGATTTTTAACTGAAAAATTAAATGCTGTGTTTGAAGAAGTTAAACTTACTGCTACTAAATTCACTTTTTAAATTTGTTATTCCAATACTTGATTGAATAACATTAAAATGGTCTTATGCAGTTTCATATTATCCTAGCTATGAATATGAAAATCCGTAAATAGTTACATGATATGAAGCAGCAGATTTATTTTAAGTAACTTAGATAAAGATATTGTAAGTTAAGATCAAAACCTTTTCGAAGAGTGAATAAAAAATGGGCAGACTGAAATGGAACTATTGCACCATATTAAACAACTCTGTATAAGGCTTAGTGAGAAATTTGATATCCATAGCTTAATTGTTTTCTCTTTTTAAATGGCCAAGATATGAATCTTGTTACTACAGACTCCACAGACGGATGAAACTCAAAAGTTAGTAAAAATCTGTATTTGAAACATATTTCGCCATACAGTATTTATCAGGATTTACGGGAAACGTTGGGAGACACCAGGGGCGGCTCGTAATAAGCACTGTGGAACTGACAGCACCCCCTATTTCCACTTATTATTATTTTTAATATTTAATATAGTGTGCCCTTAATTCTTTCTTTATACTTTTACAATACATAATCCTTAAGCTTAATGTCAGTAGCCACCCCCAGTTTGTGAAAAAAGTACGAATGTCTTTTTTTGGAACTGCGCGCTTCACAGTTCCAGACATGGTATATGACTGTTCTGTGCATGCGCACGCCGAGCCAGGGAGAGAGAAAGCACTGTCGCTCTTGCAGTGCCGAAATTCTTGCATACGTTGTTGGGAACGTGATTTCTTTTTACTCCATTCGTGTCGTATTCCTCCTATGTATTGATATCATGCACAGATATTCTTCCATTAAACACTTAACAGCTACTAAATTGTTTAACAAGAAATGCTTCGCTAGTTTTAGGAATGAACATTCTACAGAAGAAATAGTACTGACCACTGAAGCATATCCAATGATTGACAAAGAAAAGCTTGAAACTGAACTAAAAGTATTCTATTGTAGGTCTGATATCCATGAGTACTGCAAATTAATTGAGCTACTGAAATTTATCTTCGAAAATAATCTAGATGATTTACGTGATGATCTTAGCGAAATTACGAAATTGATAAAAATTCTCTTGAGAGTTCCCATGACTACATCAGAGGCAGAACGCTGCTTTTCAACACTGTAAAGAATGAAAACTTTTCTAAGAAGCACTAGGAATTCAGAAAGACTAAATGCGCTTGCATTGCTTTCAATAAAGAAAGTTTCCTCAGTTGTCATCCAGTGATCAAGGAGAAAATTATTGATCTTTTCGCACAAATTAAAATAAGAAGAATGGATTTCATTTTTAAATAAATAGAGATAAATATTGAACTGTAACAGTTTAGATTAAAGTAATTAAGAAATGTTTAATTTTTTTCTCGTAAGCTTTCATAATGTTTCAAAATAAATTTTCTTTTTATGCATGTTTGTTTCCTTTTACACAATTTTAAAGCAAAGGTTAATTTTTTTTTGGAACAGCACCCCCACTAATTTTAGCTACGAGCCGCCACTGGGAGACACCATCTCAGTTTATTTCTGAGTTGCTAAATGGGCAGCAAAATTTCGTTGGGAAAAATTTCTTAGAAATATGTTCCTTGCGTTTAACCACGTAAATCACTGAGAAAATAATTTCCAAAGTGAAAAATATTGTGATATCAGATCGATGAATGATATGTAGCAAATGTTACGAGTAGCAAAGATTAAATAGTAAGCAAAGATTACGAGTATTTTATTTGGTGGCATAGAATCAATTTTGAGAAAATATCTCATTATGTAAAATGCTCCAATTCAGTGCAAACTAAAATATTAAAAGAGGCACAGAAAATCATTCGTATGCGGATATTGGAGTACCTTTCGCAGTGTTTCAACGGGACTCAGAAGAGTATTATATAGAAACCTGGGTACACATCGTTCATGCAAGTAACAGTACAGAAGTACCTGGAGAAGAGTATTTTCGATGAGTAAAATTTTTTTGTGTCAGTATCATCAGCCAGGGTTGTAGCCAGTATTTTCTAGGATTCCAAAGAGTTGTTAGTCATTAATTACCTTCAGCATAAAAAATTAATCACAGAGGAGTATTATACACAGTTAAAAGCAAAACTGCTCAAAGAAATGCAGAGTAAACGAAGTTGTTTTATTAATGATTTATTTTAATATGTTATTTTTTGCTAAATCTAACTTGTACTCCTTCTTTCTCCCTCCAGCTCTTCCAGATATGTAAATTAGGTGGGTTTTAAATAACGAGCGAGAAAGGCAAGCTTGATAAGTTTACTGTAGTTTAGGAAGCTGAAATAAGTGCGCATTATGAAAAGGATTCCTGAAATTATCCGAAGACATAATTGAATTTATCATTGATTCATTATGTCAACGGTACATTCGATTTCTTTGATGTTAGGATTTCTTTTGTTAGTAAAAATAACTGACCTCAAATTCTGCCCGTTCTCTTTATTAAAATAGCTAGCAGCTTCTTATTTAAGATTACTGATTAAGCATTCACAAAATGTTTAAAATTTTGTGAATGCTTAATTCATTCACAATTTTGTGAATGAATTACACAATAATTAAAAATTTTGTGAATGCTTAAGTTCTATATTCAATTTTACATTTTAAATTAAAATTCTTTAGGAAAAAACACGCTTCTTCTCCAATCAATAATAATAATTTAGTTGTTATTCCCCTCTTTGCCGCTGTCAGTTACAAAATTGTGCGTTATTTTAGAGAAATTCCTGTTAAAAAGTATACACAGTTCTATCCTAAAGGGCCTGCTCCTGATAAGAATTCTTGGAGAATGCACAATATGCCTTGTCAGTGCGATTTGATATACGTTGATTAAACAAAACAAGCTTTAAAATTCTGTATCAAGAAACATGAATGTTACGATAGAATAAAAGGAAACAAATAAATCAACTATTCCTCAACATTATTGTTTTACAAATCAAAAATTTAATTTTGCTTCTGCTGAATTCATTTAAAAAATTTCCCAGTTGGTATCCTTGAGGCTTTCTATAGCCATAAAAATAAAAATCTTTACAATTTACATAAAACAGTTTACAATTTACAGAATTTAGTACATCATTATTTTTCACCTTAGAGAGGGATTCTACGCATAATTTCAGCAAAAGCATTTGTAGAAGTCATTTACGGAGCGCACCCCGACCGTCCTGGCAGACTATTATTCGCTCTATGGTCATATTATTCGCTCTATGGTCATGCGTTTGTAGAAATATCTCAATTAGAATCAGAAATACTTATAGAAGAATAATTTTGCGGGTGAGTTTTACTTTATCTCGACAAGCCGAACATTTTTAATTTGTCGCTCATTATCGCTTAGTATGCAATATTTGTTTACTTGCATTTCACTTTTCAGTTCTGCTCTACCACAGTTTTTAAAATAATTTAAGAGAGAATGTTATATATTTATACTCATTTTGAAATTAGTGGATCAACGTAGACTTCCTAATGTCACTGTCTGAATTGCTCGATCATAAAATTAATAGCTTATAAGGTATTTCGCCCACTTTCCTATCGTGCCTTCGTGGTGTAGTGGTTCTGCTCACTGGGCCGGTATTCCAGAGGTCCGTGGTTCGATTCTCGGCAAAGGCGGTTGCTAATTTTTCATCTCTCCGGCCTCAAAAATACCTAATGTCTCTACAAGCTATTAATACTAATGAATTATGTTACACTTTACAACGCTACAAGTTAAGAACAGTTGGAGTCTGGAGTCGAAGCGAAGATGAAAGGAATGTGCTTGTCTTAGCAAGCTGCCATCTGATATTCAGAAATACGAAGCGAATGGTAAGATATACGGCTAAGAAAATAGCTAATACTATTTAACTAAGGATATTGTAGTGACATTTTCTTTTCAGTAGTACGTAAGACAACAGAAGTGTATTTATTGCTGAGTCAACGACGCCTTCCTAAAAGAACCCAAATATCTGTTTCTTAATTTCTTTTCAAGAACTGTTTTAGCAAGATATCATACGGGGTCTGAGGCTAGACTTAAAGGTTTTCAGTAGAAACCTAGCTGGCTCTCCATGGTCCTCCAATGTACTTAAGTCTGGATCATTTGATTGACATATTCCGTCAGTTCCTGAAATGCGCTTTTAACAAACGTGAACAGTAAATTTATAAGGTTATTTTCTCCCTCCTTACAGCTTGCCTTCGAGGAAAGCAAACCCGACTAGCACTGGGATGTCCGAACTTTGAATCCAGGCGAGAACATTGCCTGATTTATCACGTTTCCCGTTTCCAAAAAAATCTATAATGACTCTGCAGTGGAACCTGAACTAAAATATGGTGGACGATAATTCGTTACCACCAGGATTTGTTTGGGTTCTTGCTTGCACAGTCGCCCTTCAAGTGAGGGAAAATGGAAGATGTTTTCCTCCTTCTTACCGCGTGCCTTCTTGGTGCAATAAGAAGCATTTCGAATCCCAGAAAGAGCATATTTACTGCTTCAAAACTCATAAAGGCTGTACAACTTCTTTACCCGCATTAAACCATCTTCTTACGTTCACTAGCTTGACCACGATCATATATGTTCATCCACTGAATATATGTGATCTCTTCCGATAAGAGAGAAATTAGAAAATAAGACAATACAAAAATACCCCCTTTAATACGAAAATTAACAAAATATTACATATTTCGTTTTAATCAATTTTCGGTATAAGAATAAAATGGGAAATGTATACCTTTGCAACTCATATGTGTATGTGAATTGATATGGTGCAGGACACATATAAGCAAAGAACCTATACAGTGTAACATCGGCATGCTGTCGATACTCGTACGATGTAAAGTACAAAGCTTATTATTAAAAAAAGAACGTAGCGAACAGATAAATTAATTAAATTATTATTTTGAGGGAGCTGCACAGGATCAACATAGCCATAAGATGGAAACTAGTTTCTGAGCTGCTGTGTATATTCTACGCTGACAAACAGGCAGGAGCTTGTGCTCAATTTTACGACCATAAAAATTTCTCTTTTCAAAGCTTTTATTTAGTTCACTTACGGTACTTCAGTGTGGTTGGAATTTTGGCATTGATTTTTAATCTACTTATGATTTGAATAAGCTATCGAGTTCAAATTTTATAGATATGCTACTGCTAAAGTGCTGAAATCAGTTGTTTTGCAATTTTACATTTTAAATTAAAATTCAATTCAATTTTACAATTCAATTCAATTTTAAATTTTAAATTAAAATTGCATTTTATTTTTAAATTTTAAATTAAAATTTTAAATTAAATTTTAAATTTTAAATTAAAATTGCAGATTATCTAGCTAATCTGCAGATTATTTAGGGTAATCCGTCAGAGTGCGGAAAATTGTTTCATTTCTCATATTACCTAAGTAATCTCCAAATTACCTGTATAATCTGAACATTACCTAGTACGCACTCGTTAAAGTGAAAATAATATCTTTGCTGGAAAAACAGCAATGTTTCTGCACGCTTAAATTAACATAAAGTTATTTATTTTTTATATCTAAAAAAAATCAAGTTAATACAATCAAACAATCAACAAATCAGTTGATAGAATCAATCTTCAATCAATTAAAAAACTATAATACAACGAATGAAACGGTTTAAAATATTATTACAATTAAGGATTAACATAATAGTATTTATTTATTTTACGATATCCAAAGAAACAAGTTAATACGATTAAAACTATCAACAAATTAGTTGATAGACTCAATCATCAATCTATTAAAAACTTTATGCAAAGAATCAAACGGTTTAAAATATTATTACAATTAGGAAATGAATTTGCAAAACATATAAAATTATGCTTACTTATTAATGTAATCTAAAGATTGGTGGTACTTTGAATTACATAGCAATTAGCTTTTGCGACAAGCACTCCTATTTGTGGTGCATTTGGATTTGCAGCAACATTTTCTGAAACTCTGCTCAGTACTAAGGGATTGTTTTATTGCTGTTTGAAGTAACGATGTTTCTACAGGGACATTTTCTTTTGTTAAAAATCTCTCTTTGCAAAAGGAAATGATTGAAACAAACTTTTGAATTTTAACGACACGGATGACGTTAATGTGCACATTAGTAAAATGCGGAAAACTCTTGCTTCTGCAATTTAAGGGAGCAAATCAAATAATCTGCAGTTTAGCTAGGTGATCTGCACATTAGCGACTTTTAGCGATAAAAGATACGTTGTTATGGCAGTGTTGCGAAGGGGCAACGTTGAGAAATACGATTTACACTTTTTCTTTATTTGTTGTTTAAATGATTTTTCCGCCTATTTTCCTTTAACGAATGAACTAAATATATCAGAAGTTTACTGTTTGCACCATCAAATAGAGTGCAGAAAAATCATTTCAATGAAACTTGTAATTTAATTCCTTAATTTTTGACGAATTTTCGAAAATCGTTCAATTTTTTAGACTGATTAACGTTTATGATTTTAAAATTTCAACGCCTGTAAAACTGTATCGAGTATAAAGTTTTAAAATTTTCCCTGACAAACTTTCCTCTTTTAAAACAAGAATGATAAAAAAAAAATATTACTTGAGCGAGTAACTTTTCTTTTTTCTTTCTTTCTTTCTTTCTTTCTTTTTTTTTTTTTTTTTTTTTTTTTTTTTTTTTTTTTTCCAAGTGTGTTACAGTTTGAAACAGACGGAGAAAAAAGCATTTTCTCACAGAAAAATTGCTTTTGAGTTTTCTATCTTAGCACACTTAATACGAATTGGCGATATTTGTTTTAACCTCAAGTTAAATTCTCGTTGTAACATAAAGATTAAAAACAGAAATTAAAATATATTTAAAATGGGTTTATAGACAATAAGCTTGATTTAAAATGAATGTGATAACTAATGCACTAATAAGGAGAAAAATAATTTATCACATGGTTTAATAGGAATAATAGATTATATAATTCTATTTACAAAATTTATCTAAAATTTTTTATCGAATGGGGCTCTTTAGTAACGAAATCTATTTATTTAATTGCAGTGTCGTTTGTATAAGCCATTATCTTTTTTAATTTTCTATTAATTAAATTTCATCGTCAAATGTATAAACCATTAACTTTTTTTAATTTATCCTGGACCCTCCAAGCTTTTATTATTCACGTAAAACTGTAATTGAATTTTGTAAATAGAATTTAATCTATTATTTCTATTAAACTGTATGATAAATTATTTTTCTCTTTTTAGTGCATTAGTTAAAATATCCATTTTAATAACAGCTTATTGTAAAAAAACCCCTTTCTTTTAATTGTATTTTATTTATAGTATTTAATTTTCTTTATATATCTATTTTCAGGCGATCTGAAAGGCAACTATAGTATGAGAATGGAACTCGGAGAATACTTTCACAATATAAACGATTATTATTGGCTTGCAAAGTATTTCTACAAATCTTGTTACCAAATTTCTGAGAACAGAATAGGCGAGGAAGCAAAACTACCAATAAGTGCTTTGGAAAAATTAGGATTACTTGAGGAGCAGAAAAGTAAATAACGTTAAAAATCTTTGCGGATATGTCTATATTTCTGTCATGTGTTCTTATAAGTTTTGTGTATACGCATTTGTATATCATTTTTCATGTATTACAAAATGCGTCTACCAAGTTTTAGGAGTGAATTAATGAAAAAACGAGATCTCAAGAAAACATCATTACGATAAATATCGGCTGCTGGAAATCAAATAACTTATTTCCATAGGTAGTGTGGTGTATTTGGTGGGGTACTTAATTATGGCAAAGCACACTAGGGCTATCTGCCTAAGGAGAGGGATGCCTTCGTGGAGGACTTTCTAAGGGAAACTGGCTCGTATACATGTTACACATAGGGAAAACCACGAATAGACATAGTTATAATATGAACGAAATATAACGCTGAACGAAATATAACGCTGTTAGTGAACCTAGAGCCAAATTGCCGCTATGGTAAATAAATATAGTGAATTTTAAAGAGTGCATTTATTCTATTGTGGTTTATGCGCTATCGACGAAGTAGATTTAATTCAATCCAATAAGTTTAAATGAAATGCAAGAAAAAATGCGTATAATTTAATATTCCGTATAAGGAAGTCATATGGTGGACACATCAGATTTTTTTCTTACATTAGACTATTCAGCAAGAACCTGAGTCAGCAACAAAATTAAAAACATGGGATCTTCGGGAATGCCAATTACTGGAATAACGAAGTATAATTCATAGCGATTTAAAATACAGTGACCAACATTTTTTGGAGTCACGTATTGGGACCATAGAGTGAGATGGAAAAAAAAAAAAAAAAAAAAAAAAAAAAAAAAAATAGAATCTGGAACATACCTTGTATAATGTTCGATTAACTAATTACGCAAGGACTATCTGGCTTAGAAGGAAGAGCTTAGAAAGTTTTCGCTGAAAACTTTCTTAAGGATTTCTTAAGGAAACGTTTCCTCGGCAGAATATTTTCTTGAAAAGTTAAGCTTCTTTTTTGTTTCCATAATCTAAATTATTTTTTGAAGTGCATCATTTGAAATTCTGAAGTTATATATATTTCACCGTCAATTTTCCTAAATACTAAACACAGGTGGATTAGAAACTTAAAAATTCTCTCCTGTTGAATTATCTCACACATCTTCAAGAATAATATGTAAGTTACACGAAGCCATCAGATGACGCCGATAATACGTTACAATGACGAGAGTGTAAGAGAAGTGTATATAAGGAATGGTAGCAAAGAGGTAAATTGTTCACAAGTGTACTGTAAGCTTCTCAGTGACACAGCCGAATAGTTATTGATTTTTTACGTGGTAGAATTATCGGCCGCCTGGAGTGTGAGAGTATTCAGATGGAAATATCCGAGGTACTTTTAATAGCCCAAATTGTCATGTATAGGCTTCGGCAACGATTCTAAAATGATGGAAATGTCAGTGGACGTTACAGTACAGGTCGCCCCCCCCCCCAGTCGCAACGCCGAATGACAACGGGTATTTGGCAGTAACTACCAAAAGAAGCAGCCGGAGGTATATTTCACAAGTGCATATCTGTGTAGCCACCGAGGGAGTGGCTTCTAGGATGGACCAATAAGCATCCAGCAATATTTCTGTCATGTCACATGACCTTTTGCGTGCTTTAAGATTTAAGCAAGATGGTTGAAAATACTCTGCCACGCAATTTTCTGTACAAAATAAAATAATTAAAGCATCGTCGATTGTTTCTGAAACATTTCATTGCGAAGTTAGATCAAATATAGGAAATTGTGAAGATTTCACTACCTGGTTGAAATAAATACAAACACATGCTGGATACTTCGCAAATATATCGATGTGAAACATTACTTAATAAGTGGTAAATAAGATGAAGAAAGAAATATATGAGAAACATCTGAGCCCAAATGCAATCTTTGCATAAAACTATGCGTATGAGAAAAAATAAATACACCAATTAGGTAAATAGAAGTCAGCACTTTTATTGCAGTCTATATGAAAAATATGTTCTATAATAATAACCAATGCAGAATTTTATTCAAAGTGAGCTTTACTAATTTGCATTCGTATACATTTAGTGGGTTAAATTTCACATTTAATAAATGCTCACTCTTAAACGTACTGTCTACACAAGAAATACTCATCAAACAGAGTGAATTTGTCGTATTCACAAAGAGTATATTCAATTTATTCACATATTAATTTTTAATGTTAACAATGGATATAATCAGATCATATATATTCTGAATCTTACACTTTAAAAATAAAAGGAATGCAAGCACTGAAATAAGAAAACACTAGCTTTATTATAACACTCAGTCATTCTCAGCTCATTTAAAAAAAAAAAATATATATATACACTTGAATTCTCTTAATCCACATAATATGCCGTGAACATCAATCCTAATATTAATGCGTGATAAAAATCGCGAAAGTGAAATGTCAGCGATTAATCAAACTCAGAAACGAAAGCACTACGAGAGTTTCTACTATTACGCCATATATTTATAACTGCGAAACAAATGCAAATTAAAAAGTAAACAACATACGCTCACATGCACGAATATTTAGCGTCACAAGAGCAATAGTAGCTCATTGGTCCATTTTGGAAACCCCTCCCTCAGTGGCTACACTGATGAGCACTTGTGAAATACGCCAGCCGGAGCACAGCAACAAACCTGTATCGTAAGCTATCTTCAGCCACTGGTACAACAGTTTCAAGGAAAACAGTGTACAGATGTTTGGGACTGATTGGTCTATATGCTTGCAGGCCTTTCTGATGCGTTCCGCAGACGGCAACTCATTGTCGCTAGCGGTTAGCCTGGAGTAGAGAACATGCAATGTGGACATCGTCACAGTAAGCTTCCGACGAGTCCAGGTTTAGCTCGCAGTCTAATTCACGCCGGACTTTCAAATGAAGAACTCCACGTTTCTGCTACCATCAAGACAACATCATTGAACGACACCGTTACGGTGGTGCAGGAATGCTCGTTGGGGTTGAATTATACTAAGCTCCAGAACAGATCTGCTTGTTCAGATCGAAACCATGACAAGCCAGATTTTGGGGACATCATTCTGGAACAACATGCACGTTTGTTTAGGGGTGACATGGCGCAAAATTTGTGTTTATGGATGACAACGCCCGTCCTCACCGTCCAAACACTGTGAAGGAATACCTTCAATCTGAGGATATCAGGCGTATGGAGTAGCCAGCATACTCACCTGAATTTAATCTGATAGGGTATGTGTGGAACATGCTTGGCTGACGAATTGCAGCCCGTCAAGCACCTCCTATATGTTTATCGGAACTTCGGAGAGCATTGCTTGCTGTGTGAAGTAATTTTCCCCAAGATCATCTCGATAATTTGATACTCAGCATGCCTAGGCATTGTACATATTGTATTTCATCGTCTGGGAAACATACAATGTATTAACCATCATACCAACCATGTAATGTTAAATTTTTGTAAGGGAGATTATTTTTTTTTGTAAGTGCTCCCGGGAGCAAAAATCGCAGTTTTTATGGAAGGTATCATAAATACACCATCTTTTTTGTTCTTTATCTTTTGTTTAATAAATGGGCTTTATGAATAAGTGACTTTTTTTTTTGTTTCTAAATCGTCACTTGCTGGAGTTGGCATTATCCTTAATTTATGGACATAAATATATATTTTAAATACCAACCATGTAGAAATATTATTCTAATTTCCTAATTTTTAAATACACTTAAATACATGGTAGAGAAGGTTTCTGAAATGAAATATTTCGACATTATGCACAGAAATATAAAAAGGATTTTAAAATTATTCAAATAAGCTATAATAATGCATTTCTTTATTCAGGTAACATGGAAACAGCTTTGCATTTTATGGAAAAAGCGATAAGAATAGCTGATGAAAATGATTTGCCGAATGACGATGCTAGTAGGCACCAGTTGTATCTACACTTGATAAGGATTTATCGCAAATTAGGATCTCTGATATCAAATAAAGAAGATTACTCTATTACAAAAAAATCTAAATCAGTTCGATACTTTAAAAAAGCAGCTTTACTGGCAAAGAAGGGTAAGTATATAGAGCGTTATTGTTGTGACTCATACATATGAGTCTCAACAATGACTTTTTAAATTAAAGTAAATGAATAAATTTATAAACTGGAACTAATGGAAATACTTTTAAATTTAACGATGGATTCCACTGAAGACATGTTTGTGACAATAACTGAATTAATAATAATAATAACAAGTGTTATCTATATGCCGTTTCATTAAGAAAATAAGTATTATACTGTGATAATAATTATATAATTAATATTGTTATTACATAATACTGTGATAATAATTATATGATTAAAATTGTTTTATGTTGCGTAATTATGGGGTAAAATATAAATCCTTTTTATTAAATTCTACTATTAGCTCACAGCTTCCTATACCCTTTTCAAATTTTCAGTCATTAATAAAATACTTTTTATTCATCCACTCAAGTTCAAATTCATTTTTTAAACTTGTAGTGGATGACACTTGATGTTAATACAGTTTTTCATAAAGTCAATTCATACTTATTTATTCCTGTTTATCTCAGCTAAAGATATGCTGTTTTTATTAAATATATTATAAGACTTACAAATAATGACCGTTTATTACGAATTCTCATGTGCTGTAAAAATTAATTTTATAAAAACTTATAAATAATAGTACATAACTGTGATAAATGGGATTGTAATAAGTGGCACCAGTAAGACAGAATTCTAAATATTTTTAAGTATATAGAATTAAAGAATTGTAGAGTTGGATGAAGCGTATGTAGTGTCCCATTATGTAGCGAAAATTCTCCCCATCTTTCTATGTTAACGTGATAATAATATATTTTTAAAAATATAACCCTTTAAAATGTCCCTTGCTTCACAATTCACAAACGGAGAATGCGAAAAGAAAGCAAAAAGAAACTACAACACAACCCAAGCGACGATTAGGAGAGGAGGGAAAAAAAAAAAAAAAAAAACAGCAGCAGATCAAGCATATGTCGCCTTGAGTCGTGTGAAATCATTAGAGGGGATATTAACACGTTGAGCGCGGCGCCGGTTCCTGGGGAACGGCACTGAAATTTTCGTTTCGTCGGTCCGCGGGACCGACAATATTAAAGCTAAAAAATGAATATAGTCTCAATGAAATGTGATCAAATTTAGTTTTAATGAAATGTATTGAAACATTCTAAACAAAAATACGGCTTATCTCGCTGCCGGCTGAAAAAGAACAGCAAATTCGGCGCCGCGCTCAACGTGTTAATTGAAGAACTGGACTACTCGAAACTCACTGGAAAGGTTCCTTACAATAATGAAACATAACAAGAGATGTATAGAATGAGAAATTATAGATCACCATCAGCTTCATAAATTAGAAACGAAAAAATGTTAATAATGTTAATAAAAAGTAACTAAAATAAAATTGTTTATTGTTGACCTAAGTAGGAATTTAGTTTTTGTTATTTTTTTAATATTACTTGTGTTTCTCATCAAACCCAAAACTAATTATGTCACTTCTGCACATGGCTCTCAAGAAGTGCGTCAATAAACTCTGAAGACATAACGATTATTTAATTCAATTATTTCATTACAAATTTCAATGCTTACGATTTTCAAATAAATTTGATGAAATATAACGTTAGGTGTCATACACCAATGTATTTCGAAGTCTCAATGCGTCTTTCATTTGGCAGCTGTTTTCGATGGTAATTTCTATTCTGAGGAAATTATATGCTTACATTCAACGATGTATTCTCCCAATGTTTAGTTGAACTTCTACTATTTAGATACTTCTCCAAATGGAGATGAATAATAATAGATTTATTAGGTTATCTTACATTAATTTTGTTTGCAGTTAATCAAAATTTTTATGAATGGCTTCGTTTTAAGACTCTTAAACAGAGAATTTTGAAATTTCAAGTTCGATTTTGCTTTAAGCATGTGTAGAGTCATTAGGGTTTTTTTTAAGTAAGAAAGGCAAAGAATGAGTAATGCCGTTGCCGGTACTCGAATACGCGCCGAGTGTGCTACTGTTACACCACGAAGGCATACAGAAATGAGGGAAAAAATACCTTATATACTCCTCCTTTTAAAGGGTGACTGGGGATTAGGGAACCCAACCGCCAAATCTTGGTGTTGAAGAATCATCATCTACTGCCTTTTAGTTCGGAAGCCACTGTGGAATCATTATATTATTTTGAAGCAGTAGAGGCGAAAAATGTGCAATGCTCTTGCCGGGAGTCGAACTTGGAACTCTCGACTAAGCGCCAAGTGTGCTAGCCGTTACACCCCGAAGGCATGCAGAAAGGAGAGAGAAAATATAATGTATGTATTAAATGCTCCTTAACACCTAATTCAATAAAAAATTTCATATGTTTACCATCAGTGCAAATAAAATTCGATTTTTGATTAGATAAGGTTGTAGAGTTCTTTTGCTTATCTTCTAAGTGACAATCGTACGTGTAGTAAGTTCTGGTGGGAAGTACACAGAAGAAGGGTTAAAAGTACCCTTTATTAAACTCTTTAAAATTTACAATGCGTCAGCTCGAAGCTAACACACTACGCTTTCCTTGGGCGGTAACTGAAATTTCAGAACTAAACTAAAAATTCGAAGATGTTCACAAGTAGTAGAAATTACACTGCAGGGCTCAAATAACTCCTGTTACTTAAAACCGCGTCGAAACAAACTCTTTCTTCACAAGGTAGAATTTGGATTCCTTCCTTTCAAATTTAAACATTCTGGCATTGACAGCTTAATATTAAATAAAATTGGTTATTTAAAATAAATATAAATCCCTACAAGATATAAAAGTAGGTGATTAATGATACGGAACACTAATGTGGTATTACCCGACTCAAAGCAAGAGAGTTTATTCAAGCTGTCTCTCTCTCTCTTTTTTTTTTTTTTTTTAGCCCAAAAGGGTTATTAGACTTGAAACGCGGTGTTGTGTCGAATCACTATAAATGCGTCGTTTCACTTTTCATTCGAGTCTGCTGCAATTCGGCAAAATGTAAGACAGTTGTCTTTCAAATTGAAACTGTCTGCTATGGATTAACATATTAAGTTAGTTGAAAGCAATAGATTTAGATATTTGTGAAGAGGAAATCCTAACTGATCACATCACGTAATATTTGTATATTCTGTTTTATAATTGTAATACATTGCAAACCTCAGAATTCGCATCACGTACTTAACTTTTGTAAAACATGACGGAATGAGATTAATGAGTATTGCTGATATTTCCTGCTTATTACACACGGTGTGCTTCAGAATTTCTAATGATAACATTTTGGAGAAATGAAAGAAAAAAAAAAAAAAAAAAGTGGGGCATTTGAGTTCAGTTGAAATATATCTTAAAGCGTATTTTATTATTTGCTGGGTTTGAATTCTAATGTCGCTCAGACGGTTAGTGGTTAGGAAGGTCCATTACGGCACCGAAGGGCCCGGGTTCGAATCCCGGAGAAAACATGGATGCTTGTCGGTGTGGCATGGCGGCACTCTAAATATGCGGCAAGCCGAACGTCCTCGTGGATTGGTGGAAGGACAGAGGAGTGGGAGGCCCCCGGATTCCCCTCGGTATGTTCTGCCTCAAAATTGGGAATAGAAGTCCAACCTCTCTTCGGAGTAGGCTTTGGCAACCATTTTTCCATATAAATATGGACAAGATAACAACATTTGAATTCCAATTTATTTCTAATAGGTACAACAGAAAGTCAAGCTGTTTCGTTTGGAATGCTTGGAAGAACAAGGATGAAGTTTAATGATTTTAAGAATGCCCTCCAGGTGAGATGGCTTTATAAATATTAACGATAACTGTTCAATGAAGCTTTAATCTTTTCAGATTTGTTTAACAATACATGGCAAAGCCACGAAGATGAATTTGCTTAAAGAGAAGGATGCCTTCGAGGAGGACTTTCATAGGAAAGTTGCTTTGTATTTGGATGACACAAATAATCACCCATGCAGTCAGCTCATTCGCTTGAACTGGAATGCCTATCGAACTATCAGCGTTCAACAGTTTTATCCAGTCGGGCACATAGTTGGACTAGTAGAAGGGATGGGCGAGTTTCTTTATAATAAAATGATGCAGAAACACATTAAATTATAACATAAAAGATTAAAAAAAGTCTTATATCGAATCAGATTGAAAAATTTGTCAAAACATTAAGTTTACTAGTAAACCTGTGAATTCAAATCTAGGCACTGAGTGATAATTTAAATGCTTCGAATCTTCTCAAAGTAAAAATATGCGAGTTTAATGAGTGAAAATGCAGGATTACAAGGTCCTGAATGCAACGAAAATCTAATAAAATATAATTTCAAAAGATGAGAAGAATTAAATAATAAAATAAGCAAAAAAGTATAAAACGAAAAAAATATATTTATCTGATAAATTATCTCCCCCCCCTCACACACACATTCAGTAGGGTAACGTAAATAATCGTAACTAACATATATAAAGGGTTAAAATAAAAAATACCTTTTACGGTTTTAAAAATACCTTTTATGGTCAGAGTACCTTTAAAATTACATGATTTTACTTGAACGGGGTCTTATTTTCTCCTCTCCTTAAGTAAATATATTGAACAGCTTGCGTGTCGCCCATATGGTATAGTGGTTAGGGGAGCGTACTACGGTACTGACGGGCTCGAGTTCGAATCTCGGATAAGATATGGATGTTTGTAAATGTATAGTGTCGGTGGGGCATGGCGGCACTCTAAATGTAGCTAGCCGAGAGTCCTCTCGTGTGGGAGTGGAGAAGGGTAGGAGACCCCCGGATACCCCTCCTTCGGGGTGCTCTTTCTCAAAATTGGGGTTGGAAAATAGAAGTTCAACCTCTCTTCGGAGTAGGTTCTGGCAAACATTGTTCCATGTAATATGGACACGACAACAACAACAGTTTGAATACTCAGACCAATTTGAAAAACTAGCAGACAAATTGTATGGTCTACCAATATGTAAGATATATTATCCCTAAGGATTTATCTGGTATATTATTAGTATCCAGGATTACAAACACGTAGGAGGGATGGGATGAACCCAGAAAATTCGGAATGGCACAGCAATTTACGGTTGCGTGTCATATATACATGGGAAGCACCAGAAATCAAAGGACATCACACAGTGAAAATGCTTTTTAATAACAAAAGTTACAGAAGTCAAAAAAAGTAATCGAAGTGTCTCCTATGAGCTGTAATGCAGCTCCAAAGCATGGAGTTCTGTAAGATTCCAGGTATGTCTCAGATTTCCTCGGAAGCGTAACTCATATAAATGGGGTAACATCGGTATTGTAACCAAGAGAGAGGTTTCTAGAAGATATCAGAGATTTCCAGTCAGTGGCAGACCAACAACTATCAGGGCTTGGGACGGAAATCTTCCTGGGAGTGCCCCTTATTAGAATGATCACCATACAAAATGTCACCACAAATATATAATTAACATTTATTTAATTAAAATTAAATAGTTACAATTATTTTGAAAACAAAAGATTGTAAGACTAAAGAAAAAACAACTTACATTTAGCAAACAAACATATATTTAAAAAAGCTTATTAATCTGCCATTTTTTGATGATTGAAAAAGATTGTTTTTAACTTTTCTATCAATAAAAAGTGTTAAAACTTTTTTTTGTTTGTTTGTTTTTGTTTTTGCGAGCTTTAACTCCTGAAAAATTAAATTTTCATCAAAATTAATATTTATAGCGATTGCATTTTTAATGGCAATTTGCCAAACCGTTAAGTCTTACTAGGCTCGTTGTTGATCGAAGACTGCTTTTAAAGAAAAGCTTCTCTCGCAAGAAACAGTTGAAACACACACTGTCAAAAAAGTATTTAATGTCAGATATAAGTTAAGGACTGAATCACATAGAAATGTATAGCTTGTATAGCGAGCGATGTAAGAACGTGAAACATGCGCAGTGCCCTCGCTGAGATTCGGACTTCAGACCTTCCAAACACGCCTCGAGGGTGCTTCCAGTTACACCACAAAGGCATGCGGTAAAGGAGGGAGAAAGCGCCTCATGTACTCCCCCTTTTATAAGTGACGAGGGATTAAGGGACCCAGTAATGATAGCAAATGATACTAAATTAATTTCTTCTTAGCAATTTTAAACTTTACAAACAAACTTAATTGTTTCTTAGCAATTTTAAACTTTAAAATAGTCAAATTAGCCAAAGCATAAGTTAGTAAACGAATTATATGTACCAAATTTATACAGTAATTTACTTTCTGTTCAAGCGTGAAGCAATAAAGTTTGCAGTGTTACATTTGACATTAATAAGTGTACTATTAAAAGGAATAATGTACCTATAGCTAACACCAAAGCTCAAGTAGGTCTATATACTAGATTCGCTGCAAGCTCAATCGACGAGAAAACATATTTTGCTAATGCAACATCGTGTTCTAATATAAACTGCTTACTAAAATGGTATCATAGGTATCTAGGTCACTGAAGTATAGATGCGATTAAAACACTCGAGAAAGATGATCTGGCAAACAGCACAAAAGATAACATATGTCAACACAGTGTTGAATATTCGACTTGTACTAGAGCTAAACAGAAAAAAAAAAAAAAAAAAAAAAAAAAAGAAAAGAAAAGAAAAGAAAAAAAAAAGTCGAATTTTAGACGTAAAAAGAATCCATTAGATTTAGTTCACAGAGGCATGTATGAGCTAACGGAAGTTGATGGCTTAGGAGAGAAAACATATTTTGTAACTTTCATTGATGACTATTTGCGTTGTACTCAAATTTTATTACTTCAAAAGATGATGTACTAGATAGATAAAAGGATGTTGCATGGACAATAAAACAATTTAGGTAGAAAATAAAAGTTCTCAGATCAGAATACGGTATAGATTAGTGTAATGAAGCTAATTGATAAATACTTAATGATATGTCGGTTCCTTATTGTCCAGCACAGAATGGTGTAGCGGAAAGGAAAACAGATCACTAATAGAAATCACAAAGAAAGTAAAAAATTACTGAAAGGTTTTCGGGCTGAAGCAACAGCTACTGCTGAACACCTTTACAACTGATTTACCAAATAAAAAAACACCATATGAATTATTGAATGGTATGAAATCAAATTTAAGTCACGTATGATGTATGGCTGTAAAGCTTATTTTTATGTTGACAAATAAAAAAGGTGGACATTTGCTAATACAGCTCAAGAAGTATTATTTGCAGGATACGTTTCACGAAGCAAAGGATATAGGATTTATACAGGTAGAAGGGAAGTAATAATAAACCGAATTGTTAAATTTTCCGAAAACGCACCTACATTTTCTCTTTAGGATGCAATGCATTAAAAATAAACGAGATTTTTTTACCTTCTCAAATATTATAACAGTAGTGCAATTAATTTTTAAACATTATTCAAAATTAAAGTTTCCTCTCAATTTTTTTTATTAGTTTAGATTTTCTTCCTAAAATTATTTAAGGGCTCGGGTTCAAGTCCCAGAGAGGTATGGATGTAAAATTGTCGTCCCTTAATAGAAGGGAAACGGTGCCGCTTATTAGGTGCCTCCACGACTTCACATAACAGGTAGACGGCTCACCCACAGACAATTCGTGCTAGATGTCTCCAATTACCACGTGACTTAAGCTCTTGGGGAGTGATAGCTTAGGCTGTTTATCGCCAGTTGGCGCGCTTCTATAGGCTAGTAGTGCTTTTTATTTCCGTTTGCTGGCAGTCGGCAGACAAACGGCCTCGAATTAGGTTATTGGATTTTTTACAATTATTTTTAGATATAACTTAACCCCTTTTTTCCTGAATATTTTATCTATATTTTTAATAATCGCTTTAAATTATTTGCGCCATTATTTAGTATTCAGAACTCTGAATTAATTCATTTCGATATCTCGTAGAATGATCAAGAAAGCAATGAACAAACATCTCTTAGCAATGATGTGACAGCAGATTAGAAAGCACCTGAAATATTAATTAAACATAAAGAAGAAAATGTAGAGAGATGGGTTTCTAGAACTGAAGGTGTTCTATAGAACATTATCTCAAAAGAGAGATCCGGAACACTTTGAAGGAATATTGAGCCTACTAAAACGAGAACAAGAAGTTGATTCAAGGCGACTGAAGAAGAAATAAACTCTGTAAAAGCGAACGATACTTAATGATACGATACTTGCATACTGCCAGAAGCATTAAGTAGGCCAATCAATCAAAGATATCCCTTTCTTCTTTGGCATTGATCATTCTGTAAATTCTGGAAAGTGGAAAATGATTCACACACACAGTTGCACAGTTGGTTGCAATTTTAAGACATCTGCCAGCACACTATATCTGTATCAAAGGCATATTTGCCAACCTATGACAATTGAAAATCAGGAGAATTTTTTTAAAAGAAATCAGGAGAATTTTCTTAATGGAAAAAAAAAAAATAATAATAATAATGATAAAAATACATAAAAGCAAAATGTATTTTTTCACAATGAATTAACTTTAAATAGTAACTAATTAAGAGCTGAAATTCCAGTTAATAATTGTTAAATGCAAATAATTCCATTTCCTCTACCAATGGAAATCACAAATTTTTCTCTACCAATGGAACTCTTCACTTCCAATGGAAACATTTCTCTAAAGATAACTAGTATGCACATGCACATTTCAAACATTTTCTTATTTCAGTGCTATGCAGTTGTTGAAATTCTTTCAATTCTCCTTTCCTTTTCAGGGGCGTAGCTAGAGGGGGCATCTGTCCCCGGGCGCACAATCCAAGGGGCGCCAAACTGATGTTACGGCATTTTAGAATGAAATGTTTTCCATCCTTGGCAAGCAGTAGGGGGCGCGAAATCTTCAGTTGTCCCTGGGCGCTGTAAACTCTAGCTACGACTCTGTTCCTTTTAGACCTCTTTTCAAGATAATAGTAAATATGAACAATGTGTTCAGCCACATTTATTGCTAAAGAGCTGCCTAAATGTAAGATGTGTCATGCATGGGAACCTCATAATTTACAAATATGAATTCTTATTTTTAAATAAATACCTTCAACACCAGTCTTCAAACTTGCCATTATTGGTGAATTGTTGGCATCAAGTGCTTAACCAATTACCAAAAGGACTTGTATTCTCTTTTAAAGTTTTAATAATTAGCTGTGCTATATTAAATCTTGTCGAATCTTCTTCTAAAGTGGAGAAAGAAAGTAAACTACACTCCATTTCTGAAGACTCTGAATTAAAAAAAAGAAACAAAAACTGTATACAGTTTTCCATCGTGTGTTATTGCTTCCATCCACAGAGAGGCAGAATGAAGCTGTTTTAATGCAGTCAATATCTGAAGATTTATTTTTCACATTCATTTCTTTAATAATTGAAGCCGGTTTTGTCCTTGAGTATTTCTTAGCGATTTCGCTATCGGGGAAACATTTTTCTAAATAAAGCTGTAGCATGATCCGATATATTCAGTGGCAGGTTATACTCCAGTAAAAAGACAGGGAATGAGCATTCTGTATTAATGACTTTTAAGTCCTTTTTCCATAGAATTGAATTCGTTATTTTTTGAATACAACTGACATTGTCCTTGTGTACGAGTATGTTTAAGAACATCGCCACCGTCTGATATCAAAAAATCACAATGACAAACGGTGAACATTGCAAATGTATATTTCTTTGATGAAGTAATAGAAGGAAAGTCATATATGCTTGATTTTTGAAAGGTACATGAATATTTTACCTTTTTTGGAGAGTCACAATTTCTTAAAATATTTCTTGAAAGCATCTAAAAGTCACAGCGATCGGCAGCGAGACGAACGAAATAACAACCTCGATCTTGCTTTGTGCTCTTTGGCTAACATATACCAGATAGCCCGTAGTAGCGTTTAACGTGCATTGGAGAACTGGAACACGATGTTTCTGGATACATGTGCTCTCATACATAAAGAAGTGCACCAAATGTCTCACTATTGAAATGATAGTTTTATTTTATATGTAATCTAGAGAAAAACCATTCACTTTCAAATGCAAATAATGAAGTATGAAGTCAAGTGACATAAAAATCGTGAGAAATATTAATAAGAGGAAACCGCGAGAAACATGTTGTAAATCGGATTGGCGAGAGTAATTGGGAATCTCCCGCCTAAATCGGAAGAGCTGGCAACTCTGCAACGGCTTTACATGAAGGGAATGTATGTCCAAGTACCAAGTACCTGTGTTACACTAAAGTTTTGCATGTTCCAGAAATGCAAAACTGAACTGGTATTATTTCATTGGACTATCTCAGACTGGCACAATGTCCTGGAATCGGACGACAGAATCCGGAAAGACTCCACATGGAATCATACTCAGAACATCATGCTGTGGGATGGAATTTCAATGGGATATAACATTCAGCTGTACATCTTTAAAGACAGTTCTGTGATGGCTATGCGGTATTTATTGGGTTGAAGTCCTACACCAACTGTGAGATTCTGTGCTGCAGCAGTTGATTCTGATTCCCTCATGGATCATAATGGCTATCCTGCTTGAACTAATATTGTTACTGAGTATTTGGATAGTGAGGGCATTTCTCGTATGGAGTTGCCACTGTATTCCCTCAGAAAATCTTAGGATACATTCATATGTGCTGCCTCTGCAAGTTTACCTCCTGCAGCTAGTCTCAGACAGTTGGAAACTGCACCTAATAGAGGAATGATTATTGCTAGTATCTGCTATGGCTCATCACCTTACTGAAAGCATAGGCAAATGCTGTAAAGTTTGTATAAAAGTCCAGGGTGGTCATATACCTTATTAATGTTAATTTGGTTTATTTGTTTCTAGCTTTAAACATTAATTTGTTAATAACCCATGGTGGTCATACACCTTATTAATGCAAGTTCTGTTTGTTTCTAGCTTTACTCATTAATTTGTTAATAACCCAAATGTGACTCACATAACTTACAAAAATTAAATGCATTTTAATCTTTGTATATAATGCTTATTTTCTTTCATGAATAAACACATTTGTCAACTTCAGATGTAATCTAGCATTAATCAAAGCTTTCTCATTTTTGTTGATTTTGTATACAACAGCATTTTTTCCATCAATATTTTTTTTTTTTTTTCTTTTTGTACTGCACTACTGAAAATTCTTTTTTTCCTGAACAACCCCCTTATAAAGTCTCATTTAGGAAAATTTTAATTTATTTTTCAGATTCTGAGATTAGATGCATCAGTATATGATAACTGAAATTCTAAAAATAATAATAATAATAATTTGTGAACTATTGAATCAAAAGCATCACCAAATTAGTACACTTCAAACTTATTTACACTATTCACCCTTTTTATGACAATTTCAACTACATGTTCAATTTCTTTAATTTATATGCAGGTCGTCAACATCACAACATGGGCTTCTGAAACTTCTTTAAATATATGAAATGTGACAAGTTCAGTTGCAACACAATGCATGTGAAAAAGAAAAGAATTACGCTTTAGTTTTGTTTATCAAATATCCACTCTTTAGATATTTCTTGTATTAAAATTTCAGGAATTATTAATTTCATAAATACTGTAAACATTTTTATTTATCCTTCATTTTAGATAATTAGAATTATTCATAATGTTTTAAAAATTACTTAAATTTCTCATTTGTTTTTACCTGAATGTACAAAATTTATTTTAGATTCTGAATTAAAATATAAATATTTTTCAGGATTTTGAGTCATACATTGCATTATGTGATAAATGCAATGATCAATATGGTGTTTGTAATGGCTATTTCGCTTTATCTGACATTCATAAACGGACAGGCAACATACACGAATCCAAAGCAGCTGCAGAAAAATGTCAAGACATGGCAAAAGAATATATGTTTGAAATTCCTTACATCTTCTCAGCAATAAGTCTAGGACAAATTAGTACTGCACAGGTAATTCATGCCATGAATGTTGTTCTCAGAATTAAATTTAAAATTTATTTTCATTACCTGGAAATACCAAATACAAAGCAGCATAAGAAAGCATGATGGAATATAAAGATCTCTGCTATTCAAATAGTTAAACAGAAAATAATAACACATTTTCTTGTTTTGAATCTTCAGGGTTTGTACACATTTCTGCACATTGAAATTAAGTACTTTTAAGGACCATTAATGAAAAAAATTAAGGACCCATTAACAAATGGGAACTGAATAAATTCAGATAAAAATATTATTTATGCCCGAACTTCACTTATACCATCCTAAAAATAAAATAGATCCCCAAGTAGGTTGGATTATTATTAAACAGAACTTAACTAACATAATTATTAGTAAGTCTGAGAATAAAAACTTAATGAAATTTATCAAGTAGCAGTAAATATTTTACACTTATAATATTTGAACATATTTGAAGGAAGATAAGCAACATTATATTAATGATTTTATAAATATTTTACACTTATAATAGTAGGACATATTTGAAAGAAGATTAGCAACATTATATTTAAGTTTTTTTTTTTTTTTGTCTTTCTCAATCGTTATTATCTTTTATAACATATATAGCAAATTTCAAAATGCACCAATATGTAAATTCACATATATCTTAGAAAATTTTGAATAAAAAAGTCTAATTTTTGCGGGTGTGCCTAAAACTACTCTACTTTAAGATGATGTTTAAATACTGTAGATTAAAAAAAAAAAATTTTGAAAATTTATAAAAATTATTTAAAAATAAAATAAAAATGAATTTTATTGGAATGAACCTAAATTTCGAAATGTGAAAGGAAGAATCAAACAAATTTAATAAAAAAAAGAGAGATTAATAAATATATACCAAACTCAAACTGAGAGCTAATCTTTTAAAAACTACTCATGTGATTTTTACAAAACTTGGTAGTTTGTCATAATTTGAGTTGTAGAATCAAAATATGGAAAAGAAATTGGTAAGTTATTTCAGAAAAAGTCCAATTTTGTGTCAAAATACCTATATTTGAACAATGCTATATATAAATCTAATACATATCCCAAGTCGCGCTTTTGAGACATGAAAAACGGAAGTTGAATTTCGTCAATCCACCCAGTAAAACGGGAGATATAGAAGTGTCCCATTTTTTTTCGTAGTGTACCTATGAGGGTTTACTTGATCTGGTAAAAGTAAAATATTCCCAACCCCCTGACAGACATGAAGCAAATTATCACTATGTCTGAAAGTAACTGCAAAGTCAGGCAAAAGTTCTTATTTAAAAAGAACTTAGAACATAAAGGCATGTTCTTATGCTAAGAAAATCAATTACAGCTTGTGGTGATGTAATTAAACAAGATGAGGCAACTTAAACTAAAAGTATGGATTAATGGTCAAAGACTTTACAATTTAATTTTAATTTAAGCTGGCCATGTAGCTCTATCATCAAAACAAATTCAAATGTCGGCAGTGATAATGCAAAGACAAATTACGAATTATGAGAGCTGACAGGAACTAATGCAGCAAGCAAGCAGAGGTCAGAAATACACCGTCTTGCACTCCAAAAACCTCTATCTAAGTGATTTGCATTCTGGTGAGGAAACAGAAATGGTAAATTATAGTGAAGACTAAAATTATTAACTGGGTAATTTACATAATAATAACTGTACATATCTTTGAAGAATAATTTTCTTTATCTTTATGAATTCAGTTCCCTTCTTCAACACATTTCCAGAATTTTTGGATTTAATTAAAGATTTCTGTTATTTAAAAAAAAAAAAAAATACTAAATGCATTTAGAAAGTATAAAAAAAGCTGCTAATTTCATTTCTTTAGTAATATGGACATTCAAAAGAAATGTGAAATATATATGGTAACAGCCGGTTACAGACCTCGTTTGGCAAAATGTTTAGAATTTAGTGACACACCGAGCAACAAAATCTAGAAATGGCCAAACTTTTACAATTCAGAGCAGGCACTGGAAGCAGAATTAAGAATCCACAGTGATTATATCAGGGGGAAAATGCCTGGTCCCAGCCCTCTGTATGATGCATTAAGACATATTAAATGAATGTTTTAAATTGTCAGTTCTCAATTTTTTTATTAATAAAAAATTCCTTTCTATAATTGCCTGTCCATATGATAACATTAGAAGCATTTTTTTAAAATTTTCTATGCTTGTGTCTAGTGAAAAAGTAGGGAACGCAAAGGGAAAATAAACATGTTAAGAAAAAGATTCTAGTATCAGAAGTAAAACATTCAATTATTACGTTTTCATTGTTCTTCCAGACGTTCTCCAAAAAGTAAGAAATTCATCATAAACTGTAAAATAACATCCATTATGTGTTAATACCATGGAGACATTTTTCATTTTGTCACTTTTTCTGGAATCTTCTAGAATCATGGGTCTATAAATCTTGCCTTCATATCCATTTAAACTTTCTAAGTTCCAATGTGTAAAATCTTATTGCGAAAAGCCAGAAATATTTTGGAAAGAAAAATCAGAGGGAAAAAGAGTAAAATTAATTTTACAGAGAAAACTTATGCATATTATGAGAATTCTGAATATTCTGAGGCAATTTACATTAAAAAACTCTTATCATGAAACAATTAAAAAGAAGATAGTTTTAATTAATTACATAGCTATTTTGCTTTTGATAAGAACTGTTTCATAAATTGTGTTTCAAACATATACCATGTTTATTTTTCACAACCAAAATATGGAATAATAAGTGGCCAAAATTTAACTTTATAATACAACAGCAAAAAATAAAAGTATTTTATTTTAATGTTATTTTTTCCAATATATTACCATTATTATAATGAAATTTATCAATGTTATAATATTTTTTTTAAAAAAATCGTCGAAAATTCCCAGATCTCAGAACTAAAATTTTTTTACAAAAACTGATCATAAAATCACGAAATTCAGAAACATTTAATAAAAGAATTCATCCCCAAAAAAGTTTTTAAGAGCTCTTCATTAGAAAAAATGAAATAATTTTGAAATGCTTAGGTTTCACTTCTCACTCAGAAACTCAAATATCCCATCATTTATATTAGAAATGCAAACCCATTCACAAGATAACAATATTTGTCAGGGAATCACCAAAAATATTCCTCTTCCAAAATGTTAATTCACACTCAAAATGGCAATAGTAAAAACAGACAGAAATTTCAGATGATTAAAATAAAGGACCAAAAATCGATTCCAAAACATCTAAGGACCTTTAAGAACCGCATGAACCCTGAATCTAATTAAGAGATTTCTGATACATTGCTAATGTATTGTAGTTTAAGTTCTTTATACTTCAGTTTGCTTTTTAGTTATTATTTTAGATGCGTTATTGAAATACCTGTACACATTTTTCTTTCTAAAAGATAACAGAATATTTTTCATTTTTCATATTTTAATCTTTTTTTAATGTTATTTTGTATATGAAAATAATCATTTTTAATGCATATACATACCTGCCAACCTCTAAAGATAAAAATTCAGAAGATTTCTCCCCCAAATTCAGAAGAACACGAAGAATTAATATCATGCTTTGATATTAACAAAATAACAATTTATAAAAATAGAAAAAAGAAAATTGTACTTACATTAGTAAATCTCAATTAAGTAGTAACTAAAAAATTTATTAGGAAACATAAAACAAGAGCTTAATATTACACAAAAAATTATTGCAATGATTTTTTTTTAGAGTGCATTTTTGGCTTTAGCCAAAAATTTTGGGAAATTCATAGTTTATTTCCTTTGAAGGATTCTTTAATTGTTGGAAATTCGGCTTTGTAGGCAGGCCGAAAAATATGAGAATACGGTTTTTTTTTAACTCATTTCGTAATAACGACGTATTAGAAAATTCGTAGCACGTGAAAACAAAAAACAAAGAATGCGAAAATCCACCGCTCACTGAGTAATTCCCTTGTTGCTGAAGCGAACACAAAAAAAAATAATCTGGCGCCCACAAAGAAAAGAGTGGGAGAAACAAGTTCAGCGCATTGGATTGGCTGGTTAAGCAGCGAGTTGGGAGAACCCGCAGGTTACTGGATTCGAAGAGTAGTCGGTAAAACACGATGCAATTGGCGAAAAATTCTAAAATTTCGACAAAAATCACTAAAAACTTGGGGGGGGGAAATGTAAAAAAATGGATTACGATCGTAAAATCGTAAAAACAAACGCATTTTCGTAAAAATTACGAAAAATTCATAAAAGTTGGCAGGTATGCATATATAACAAGCAAAAATTTTCATTTTAATGTTCACTTCCTATACTGGACAAGAATTAAGTAAAATAATTGTCTCCATCTTACTTACGAACTTTGGCTTTTTTTCTATTTTGTTTTAGAGGAACTACAGAAAAGCTCATGAACAATTTGAAACAGCATATAGAATTTTCTTATCTTCAAAAAAGGATTACGCAAAAGCAGCAGAGTTACACAAACTATGCAAAATCATGTGTGGAATAGGGAGGGCACATCTCAGTTTCAATAAACTAATAAAGGTATTGCAAGAGCCTGAAGAATCAGCATTAATTCAGATTACTGATTGGAGGAATAAAGGAGGTATTTTTAAAGGTGATGTCATGGAGAGAAAGGATCATTTGATTGATTTGGAAGAAAAAGAGAAAATTGAAAGTGAATCTAAAATTTCCATATTAATAGAAAAGCTTACACGAAAAGAACTCAGTAATGATATATAAGAGAAAATATAGAAACATTTAAGAAGCAGTACATTATATAAAAGCATTTTAAATAAATATGAGTAATTTTAACTAGTCAGTTACTTTATGATAATAAAAAATTTGATTTAATTTGTTAATAAAAATGCCTTTTAAAAATTAGCAACAAAATAATACATAAGTGTATTTTTTAAAAATTTACACAAAATATTTTAATAATTTATTATGCAAGAAATATTAAAATTATTGAAATGGTTGAAAAAATTTATTTGTACAATATACAAATGACAAATGACATATTAAAAATATTTTAGAGATGCTTTCTTCTTCTTCTTCTTCTTTTTTTTTTTTTTTTTTTTTTTTTTTTTATTGTTCTGCATCTTCAAACTGTTCTTCATCCATATCTGATTCATCTTCTACAACTAGAAGAAAAAGGATAAATAAATAAAAAGTGTATTTCCCTTCAAACCTATGCTGTACATTAGATCAATACAGCAGCAGAAACCCTTGAAAGAAAGCAAGTTAAATAATGATCTGAAATTTATGCCATTATGTTAAAAAAATTAAAAACATATAAAAAAGACACCAAAATATTTCAGATGATAGGCAAACAGTTACATTTTATTAGGATTTTTTCAAATGATTCTGATCATAAATGTCAGATTTTTTTTTAAAAAAAAGGTCATTTATTTTTCAGAAGTTTACTTGTACCTCCAAGATTTTCTTTGTTTTGTCACAATTTTTAACGTGATCCTTTTTAAGACTTTAAAAAAGTTTTTAAAATGCAAAATAATAATAATAAAATAATAGTGATATAAGACTGTAAAATATTCTCAATAAATAAATAAAACACATACATACACACGCAAAAAAAAGTATTAGTTGGAAAAAAAAAAAAAAAAAAAAAGGAAACAATTAAATAAAATAAGAAACTTAAAACTTTTTTCCTCATTCCTTACAATTATACAATGCATGGTCATCAACATTTTGAATAGCACAAATCAAAAATGGGTTTATATGAATGAAAAACTGTATCAATGTTACAGCTGATTTTTTTTTTAAAGTAATAAAATAACTTATTTCCATACACAAATATTTTGTGCATTATTTTTTTACATAAATACAAGTTTGGTTTGCTTTATCATAGTGAAATTCATTCTTATTAAGTGCTCTGAATTTACATAAATACCTTTTGTATTATATAATTTTTATTACATTAAAGAATTAACATAAGAGAAATTCAAAAATAAGGACTGGTTAATAAGGTCAATAAGTTAGGACTTAAGTTAAAGACTGGTTAATAAGGACTGGTCAATTAACTATGGCAATTGATAATTTTGGAATATAATAAGGAATAATCCTAACTAAAAACTTTTATTTTCTTATATGTGGAATATGCCAGCTAATTGGAATTCTAGTCAAACTAAAGAAATGACTCACATGGCATTCCAAATTTGAATATTTTAAAAAACTCTGAAAATTAATAAACAGAATAGCATGTCTACATACATTTAAAAAATTACTTTTTGTGCAAAGTTTTTAAAATTTTTCAGAAAACATTTTAATTATTTCATGTAAACTAAAAATGTCTGCAATGACACTTATTGTACTAGCAAAGGTTTTTTATAAAATTTGCAAGGTTATAACATTGCATTCTTTTTTCAAGTTTTTCTAGGTGTATCAATCATGGTAGATTTGCTTAAAAAGAGCTCCTTTCACAGCCCAGAAGCACAATAGTTCATAAGTGAAATATGAATGGCAATTGCACAAATGTGTCGAAATTCTGTTATATGGCTACATACTGTTGGGGGGGGGGAGAATTTCTTGTGTAAATAAGACTTAAAATATTTTCCTGGGAAGTATGATGAATTTACTTTATCTTTCCTCCCTCTTTCTTATATTTTTTAATATGTCCTTGTAAAAGAAGGCTGTAACGATCATAAACTCTCAATCTTTTCCTATATTGTTGATCAAGATCTGTACATCATCTTCTCCAGTTTTCGAAAATAAACACTTTTTTCTGGGAAGGATGAACGGTACTTTAGATAAACTAATGGTCACAATGTGTTCCACTTATCTTCAGCTAGATCATGTTTGCTCAGGGCTCTCATTTATTTTCAGCACTCTGCCACATGCCTCAGCAAAAGTCGATGTATATTCAGTGTTTTAGTATTTTTAAACCGTAAAACTTTATTACTTTTCACTTGAAAAACACTCAACAGTATGCCCCTTTTTTAAGCATTTGTTTGGAGTCAATGAATGCAAAAGTAATGGCTGATAACTTTCATTCATTTCCCCCTTCCAGATCAATAATAATATTTTAGCATTTGCAAATTTTAATACTGTGCATTTTGCAATGTTTCTGAATTGTGAAATAAAAATGCTTATCATTGGAAAGGGCAAAAATATATTTTTCATAGTTTGTTTATATGCAACATTTTGAAAGAATAAATTTCTATGTAGGAGACAAAATTTCTCCTTTATTGCCATACATTTTTAATCTACAGTATTTATATTTTTAAAATCTTTTCTTTAAATTGTTCTTAAAATGTGTTAGCACCGACTGTAGTTGATTTAATACTGCAATGGCATGAAAAAAGTATTTGTTCAGTCACACGATTGCATCTATAAGATGTGGCAGGTTTTTATTTTAAAAGTTTTGTTTTTTGGCCAACCACAATCAATTTTCGAAACTTTCCTAATATTTTATACTGAGAAACTGAAGTGTGAGGGGGAGATTTTACATTTATCAAAGAACTTTCAAATACAATGAAAATAAAATGAACCATAACTGTGCATAGAAAACTTAACAATGTATGAGTTATAGATTAAAAAGCAAAATTAAATACAAATATTTGCATATTCAACATCAGTAGAATTTTTGCAAAATGCTCTATGAGTCTCTTCACTTGAATAGAAACTGAATTTGCACAACTTGAATTGCAATTACAAATGCAGGTATTTCTGCTCTACTTTACCATTACTATTATTATTAAAGAATTTTTCACCAGAAATTTTTTACATAGCATTTCCTTTCCTTTCAAGATTTTGCGATGAATAATTCTTCTCGAATTACATTAAATAAAGATAATCTAAACTTAGATAAATTAAAAACCAAGCAATAAGGGGGGAAAAAAGAAAGAAAAAATCTCCCAGTTTTACCAGGTGGATTGGCAGCTCTGTATATGAAGTAAATAGCCAAATGTAAGCACTGGTGCATAAAATCATATTTTGGGTCTTATGGAAAGTTCTGCAGTTTTTTATGATAAATGCAAACGAAACAGTACAAAAATGCAAGAAAATTTTATTGAATTGCATAAACACCATTTTGTTTCTCCAAAGAAGTGATATATGCAGACTATTTGAAGCAACTTGAAGAGATGAGTATGAAAGGTGACACAAAATATCCATGCCATACTCAAGAAGTCTTGGTCTGACCTTCGGACTGGTGGGCTGAGCAATATCATAATAGAAGTCAACACCTTGATAACTGATTACTTCTGGGAGTTTTGCTTTGATTTCTGTTTTTAAAATTGCAATTTATAAATAGTATTTATCCAAATTCATCATGTGATTTTGTGTAAATAGTTCATACAACCCCTTTTGACGTTAATTACGGAGGTTCACTTTAGCTTATCCATGATATTTTCCTCGAACTATTATTGTATAGTACCTTCTTCTCATCTTCAATAATGAGCCTTTTCCAAAAAGGAGCCTCTTTATTTCATTTCAGCAAAGAATCACATGCTAAAATTCAAGCAACGTACTCTGCCCTGCTAAAAATATAGAGAACCTGTATATCATAGAGGTTTACATACTCAATCTTTTTCAAATGATCATAAATTGTACTTTTCAGAATATTTAGTAATAAAGATTTTCAAAAATAGCTTCTTTTGATAGGTCTTTGTTTACAGAGTATGGTCCTTCAGAGTAGGCATTATCTTCAAGGATAAAATTTCTGCACTTCTGAAACCATCTTTGAACTTTGTCATTAGGAAGAGCACTTTGTTCATACACAAAATAAATTTTACAAGCAGTTTGACTAGCATCCTTTTCCTTTTTTTAAATAAAAGAGTATAACATGATCAAGTAAACTTGTAGAAAAAAACGTACTTCAATTTGAAAAATTGCATAACTTTCTGGATGAACCAATACATCAAATAGAAAGAAATTTGTAGCATAACATTAAGATATAAAAATGTATAAGTTTAAAATTAGAAACTTATATTCCTTCTTGCTTTAAAAAAAAAAAAAAAAAACAGAAACTATTAGATATACCGAAATTACCATCATCCATTTCTTCAAGTGTACCATTTGCATGTTGAATACTAATTGGAGGTAAAACAATTTCATCATCGTCATCATCTGAAATTATTTACGAGTGTTTGAAATTTCAAAACATAAACTTTAAAAAGTATCACTACCAAAGATTTATAAATACATATAAAAAATATCACAGACATATTAAAATCAACCTTAAGAAATAAATAAAAAATTCTATTGAAGAATCTTCTTTCAACCTTTATAAGTTTGCAAAAAAACACATTCTTTTCAGCGCTGTCTTTTTTTCCCCCAAGGGGGGGGGGGTAAAATCATAATAGTCTTTACTTAAATTTCTTTGAAATACACTGAAATTTTATTAGTCCATTCTATACATATATAATATAAAACAAGTATGCTAAATCTGTAATAAATTGGAGATGATATGGATTGGGTATGTTTGGAGAATAAACATGTTACTTATTATTATGTTTATACATTGTACTTAAAACATGCAAAACATTTATCTGCTCAAAACTGCATATTAGAGTCAAGCTGCCTGAGAAGTTTTTAACAATAAAGAACTATTTTATTATGTTTAGGGGGGAATTATTTAAATTTAATTCTTTTATACAAATAAATAAAATTGCAAAAAAAATAGATTAAAATTGTGTATCCGCTTAGTGAATTTTCAAATAAAAATATTATCTGGTTGACTGTTTTTTACATTTAGACTGTTTGACTGTTTTTTACATTTTTATGCATTTTTCTTTATCTATCCCATCATATGAGCCTTACATCAACTGTTTCCATACACATGTGTAACCATCTCGAGTGCTAATCAAATGCTCACATTACAAAGTAGTTCGAATATCAATCTGTTGCATGGAAGCCCTTTTGCAACAGTGGTATGATATTTGATTGTCATATAACAAACCTAGGATCAAATTCCGAGGTTATCATCTTC